GAAAAAACCACGGAATCATGCAGGGACTGAAAACCCAATCCACAAATTGGCCTTGGTGGGATTCGAACCCGGGCCACAGCGGTGGAAGGTGCAAGGAAGGTATTGCTATAGATGCCAACCTAACTTTCCCATGTCAGGAAAACATCTTCGCATAACGAATCAACATATAATTGATGAGGTGGACACAGGTGGATTAAACAGGTGGATTGACTTGGTCCAATAAGGTCCTGCATCCCTTACAGCCACAGTCAGTATTAGAGGTTGTATTATGACTATTGTGTTCTTGTGATTATCCATCGATGGTCACAGTAGGGGGTAGATTGTTATGTGTTCAATGAGAATACTACTTGTATGATGACTTAATCACAGTTTCTTTTGAGACTAAAGGGAGTGAAGGATTTCACGCTGTTATCCGAGTTTGAAGACTGGATTAGAGCATTGAAAAGGAAAACCTACTGGTATTTTCTTTGTATTAATACATGTATACAGAGTGTGCCGTGCCAAAAAAATGCAACATTAAAAAAAAAACCAAATAATTGCAACTGTTCAATGTTTTTTTCTTCAGTGAAATTATATTTTACATTAAAGCCTGACTTTTTCTCAATCCACTCCATTTCACCCAATTCCATATTGGGTCCCTAGATCCAGAAACACAATCAATTAGGCGTAAATTGCACTTGGGCTACTCTCACCTGGACATGCTGAATCTGGGTTAAGTATTGAATAGGCATTGATGTAGGCATTGAAGTTGGTGACATCACGGTTGAGAATGGTCCAAGATCCATATTAATTGATTGTATTTCTGGATCTGCATGTAGGGACCCAAATGGAATGGGGTAAAAAGGAGTGGATTGAGAATTTATACAGTAGTCAGGCTTTAATATAATATATAATTTCATCGATGAAAAAACATTAAACAGTTTTAATTATTTGTTTTCTGAATGTTGCACTTTTTTTTTTAGCACACTCTGTATGTCATATGTAGGCCTCCTAACATGTTATCTAATCAGACTTTTTAAGTGTTTACTTACATGTTATCTCCCTCAAAACTTCATCAGACCTACGTGTACATGCAAATGTGCAATTCTAATTTAAGCAATGGTTGATGTGACCGCTTAATGATAAGCAAACTTAAAATGAGAAATAACAACTTGACAAAATAAATCAGTTTGATTTTTATTGTACTTTAGACTATTTGTCTAAAATCAGCTGACTTTTCAAAGTTCATAATTGGGAAATGTCAGAAGTCACAGCCTCCAGATTAATTGTATAATGATTGGCTATACACCTGACTTGTAATCAGTTGGTCTAGGGTTCAAATTCTGCTACATCCCGGTACCTGTACTTGCTTACATTGTACATCTAATATTAACCTTTTTTAGGCACAGTTGTAGAATGTAGACTCTACCTCTATTCTCTCTAAACTCTCTAGGGAGAACATTGTACAATGATACCATAATAGTTTCCTATGTATTAGGCCAAAAAAAAAGGCTCCGGTTTCTGGTATGCGCGCGCGTCGCCGTAGCCATGCGCGTCGGCAAAATGAAAAAGTTTTTTTTCAATGAAAGATGATGTCTCAAAACCGCCAAACTCACTGGTTTGACTGAAATTCTGCTGCTGCACAATTTTAACGTGTTTGTAGATTGGGTTATGGTCGAGAATAAGCTTTATGTGGCCTCTCTGGACTCCCATATAATTTGCACTAAGTTTAGTCGGGCACCATTTGCAGTCATCAGCCGACATTTGAAGCAAAAAAATCAGGGTAAAAAAAAAAAAAAAGCCGCGTCGCTGCACCACTTTTTGGGCAAGCTCCATACCAGAAACCGGAGACTTTTTTGGGGGGGCCTTAGGATTTCCATTTTTTTTTTTCCTTTTTCATTTCCTATTATTTCCTCCGTTTTCACCATTCAATACTCTTTTTTTTTCCTGAGGGTCGAATATCATGTCTGGCAGTAGTCATTGTGGGTTTTGCATTCAGTAGGCCAGGTATCCAGATTTGAAGACTCATTTTGGAAATCAAATAAACAAACAAATAAATTTGCATCACAACGCCATCATGGCAATTGTAACCCAGATCTCAATCTGGTGCTTTGCCTTTGCATAATATCAAAACACAGACATGCATTGCCCTCATAAATGGAGCATATGCTCATGATGCAGCTCAAAGTTTTTGAAATTTTATAACATTTACGAAACAAGACTTCTCTTCTGCATGAATGCGTTGTTGAAAACCAGACTTGATTGAAAGAAAGTAATGTTTAGTCCTTGTCTGGAGTGCTACCATTCCAGGGACAAGTGCTGTCCATCATTTCACCAGCCAAAGATTGATTGTTACGAATAAAAAGTCTTGCTCCAGACATAGTGCATATTAGGTCAAGAGGTTCCCTTCATATCACCGAACAGAGTATTAATTGCCCCGTTTAGTTCATCCTTCAGAGTTGATTGTACTGTCGCTAAAAAGCTGTTTTATTCAGAAACAAATAACCGACATTCCTTGCAGATAGTGTATCTTTACCATCATCTTATCGGTATTCTTCAAACAAATTTGGCAATGGAATGTGTTCAATTTTTTGGCCAATTTGCAGCATAATACTTGCAAAATCTGATCTGTGTTTATATTGGTTTTGTGCCAAGAAAAAGGTTGCTTCATTTAAATAAAGTTTGATAAATTTTCTGTTTGACTGCTTTTACACTTCAAGAAAGTGTTGACAATAACTTTGTCGAAAACATTGTAGAAAACAATTTTAAAGCAATTTTGTCTCCACCTGTAAATTTTATTTCTGATAAAGCATGACATATGTAAGGCTTGTTTTCAGATATTCAAACTAGACTCATAGAGTCATATCATATTGTGAAATTTATGTTCCTCCTGAACTTTCCTATACAGCTTTTTATTTTATTTTCTACAGTCAACAACTTCCTCAAGGAAGAATGATCATGGGTCTGAAATCTCAGCTTTAAAGCTGATTTCAGCTTTTTTTGTTTTGGATTTCAGCTATTTTCCCTCACTTGCTGTGTACAAATGTATAGGAGATTTCCAAAGTTCAGCTTTTTTTGCACCTTTTCCAGCTGTTCTCAGCTATTTTTAACAATGGTCATTCACACCCCTGATGATGCAAAACAAACTACCACATCCACAGAAGCCCTGTGGAATGTTGACCCCTAATGATTTAAATGTGTAGGCATGCAACTGGGAAGTCGCCCAAAAAAGAGGAAATTCAAATCTATCCAAGACTTTGTACAGTGTTTCTCTATTTTCAATGGCACACATGGAAAGTAAAACAAGAGGAAATCAGCGGATCTGAGGAAACGTTGCATGCCTGCATGAACACATGAATGGTACATGTACGGATACATGTCCTGTATGCACTAAGCTTCAACAAGCATGTATTCGCTGCAAACTACTGCTTTCCTTTTTTTTTTAAATTTTAAATAAACATATGTGTTTACTGGCTTTTTAACCTTTGAAATGATTGATCACTGGCGTACCTGCTATGCAAGTACATGTATGTACCTTACCTACGTGCCAGCACACACACACACTCACAATGGTGGCCTTGTTGCTATGGCAATCTGGGTTAATCTATTCACTTTTTGGCGTCCTCCCGGCACCACTAGCAATAGATCATCAGTGTTGTGTTCTTTGATCAAAACAATTGAAACAGAAACGTTTCATGCATCGGAACGGTGACTGCTCTATTTTCCGACACCCCTCTGTTCCCACACCTGAACATAAGATTGTGTTACTCCAGGTTATATAGGGTTAGGGTTAGGAATAGGAATAGGAATATGTGCAGTGGGAACATAGGGGTGTCGGAACATACAGGTGTAACCATACTCCCATCCCCTTCAAAAATAAAAGGTTATCCTTGTTTTTTTTCCCCCAAGGGGAGGGGGGGTGGAGTTTCATTTGTGTATGAAGCTGCGATTGCCTTAACCCTAATGATCCCCAACCAGCCAAACTCCTACACCAGGGTTTGTTGGAATCTGTTAGGATGAGTACTGCACTAGTAAACTGGCTGTGCTTTACATGGGATTAGGCACACCACAAATAAACAGAGTCCAACTGTTTATGTGTACCGTTTACCATATGGTGTTGGGTTTTGCTAGGATGAGGAAGGTTCGTTGTAAATCACCTTAAGGAGTTATTAATGTTCGCATAAAAAAAATGCACAAATGAAACAAGGTTAATTTATATCCATTTATTTAAAACAAAACCCAAAGTCCCCCAAAAACAACCATGCATGTACATGCAATGTATTAATATTAATTAAATTTATTTTAATAAATAACAATGATTAAAAGGTACACCCCTTCAACTCCCATAATATTTCTCAGAACTAAAATTCAACATTTCATTTTCCCAAGTATTTTCAGTATAGGCCTACCTTTCAGAGTAAAAGTCTAAAACAGATTTTTTTGCCTTTTAATATTTTAATTCTTCTTACAAATGATAATGATTTTTTTTTGGGGGGGGGGGTCCCTTCTACCTATACAAAAGAAAACTAACCATAAAATACTTTCCCAATATTATTAGGTGAAATTAGTTTGACCTTTTGCGTTAACCACAAAGCTATGTTTGCTTGGAAATAAAAAAATATAAGCAAGCTTCACCAATTGAAAACTAAAAACGTTTTCTGTTTTAAAAAAAGAAATTGTCTAAAATGGCTATCTGAGCAGTCTCAGACAGGCAAAAAATCCATCCTCTTCCCCTGCCATGCCTTTTGACAGGACAGCCACCTACAGTCAGATCACATTTCAAGCAAGCACTGGGACAAGTCAAATTCAGTCAACGGGCAAAAGCAGACTAGTGGTAGTGGTGGAACTATGGTACTGGCTTATCAATCACCTACAGTCAAAGCTAAGCTGTATCAAGTTACATAGACAGTCACAGCCAGACAATCCTGCTTCATGTAGGCTGGGAGCTCTTAACTGTTGAAAACAGTCACTTGATAGATTTTGACTGAAAGGACAACTTGGCACAGAATGTCTGTTTCCATAGGAGGGTAAATATAAAAATGCACAAACCAAGTTAATAAACCATACATGTACCAAGCAAAAAAAGAAAGGTTAAAAAGAGATGTAAGTCCATAATTGAAACTGTTCAGACATCCACAGGTTGCTTGGCAGTTTGATCCATTGTACATGTAGATAGAGGCAGGTAGTCTTGAGGAGGTTGAGTGGGACTCTCATCCTCTCCATCATCATTGCTCTTGACGCACAACTGGAAACGTCTTCCCTCTGTAACACCAGGAAATAAACAAGAAGATTGTATTCCTAAGATGGAATATTGCGTCGGGTGATGTAAATCCAACCAGGTTTTGCCCTTCACAGACGTTTTTGCCCTTCATCTGGTTTGATTTACATCACCCCGATGCAAAATTCCATCTTATCGATAGTTATGCGGTACCCGCTGCTATGTACATCAGATTCTAACCAGCCAACCGATCCCGTTAGCTTGGTGGTTGAGTGGTAAGACATCTGCACTAGAAAGCAGGAGGTCGTGGGTTCGAGTCCCACCCGAGTGATTTTTTTCCAACTTTAACTCTGGAGGTAACACACTGAGTATACAGTGTTTATACGTCGGTGAAGGGCAAAACCTGGTTTGAAGAAGATTGTACTGTTGTTGAAAAAAATGTGGTACAGTTTGGAACTTTTGGGTCTTTGTAGAATGTACAGTACACAAATATAACATGGTTTTTTGAGGGTGGACAGTCAATATTAGCTACCCAACGTATTGGAAGTTGACAAACTAGTTCACCTCAGGAACTAGCCTGTCAACCTCCGATATGAGAGGAGCTAATATCGACTGTCACCCGAAACAAACCATGTTATATTTGTTTTACTATACAAAATTTGCTTAAATCAGTGACGTACCAGTACATGTGTAACAATAGAAATCTCCATGCACTTCCAACTGTTAGCATGTCCACGCCATGAAATACCGTACATGTTGTGCTTAAGCAGCAGCATGATTTTTCTGCTACATGTACATGTACATGTATATTAAGCACTTACTTTCTGCTTACTGTTAAGCGGCGCCATGAAATTGGGCACTGGACTGACATTTCATCATCAAAGATGTTGTATTGGGGAAACTGAAGGAAACTAAATGATTGTATGACTTACTGCCAAAGTTCTCTCCGTCCTGTATGGTATCCGGAAGACTGTAACCCATGGTCTCTGGAAGCATCAAGGACAGGACTCCAGCAATGATGGCGCTTCCTCCGAAGACACACAGAGGCAGTGGTTCCCAGTACTTGCCCAGGATCAAGATGAGAGGACAGAGGACTCCGCTAACACGAGCCACCATGGAAGATGTACCCATGCCGATACTCCGGATGATGGTTGGATAGATTTCAAGGGAGTAAATGTAGATGTGACCGAACGCTGCACTGATCGCAAATTTGCCCACCATGGCTACTGCAGCCCTGGCCGCTCCGAGAGGAATGAAGACTGTAATGAGGCAAGACACTCCGCCAAAGATGTAGAAGGCTACGAGGGTTATACGTCTGCCAAACCGATCCATCACGTACCAACACACAAGATAACTGGGTATCTCCAAGGCTGCGGAGACAAAGGCAGCAAGATAATCATCGACACCCAAGGCAGAGGTACTCAGAGATAGTCCGTAATACACCATGTTGACAACAAACCAGTCAACCCAAAGGATGAGGGTTTTCTTGCGGAGGTTGGGAGTGCGGAGCAGATCAAGTTGGGTGACAGGGATGCGAGAAGGCTGCTTCGTTTCTTCTTTGCTTTTTTCACTCAGTTTGTCAAGCAAGTCATCCGGAGCCTTGGTACCATTCACTTTAGCTATCTTGTGTATGATTTTGGTGGCTTCTTTGCATCTGCCTTTTGTTATCAACCAGCGAGGAGATTCAGGCGAGATAAGCATCGCAGGCAAAGTAATAATGAATGGGAGTGATATCGCCAACTGTAGATGGCGCCATTCTCTCAGAAGAAATGCCAAAAGTGTCAAGAGAAGGTAACCGATTGCAAAGGAGAAAAACAGCATGGTATTGGCAGTGACGCGCTGTTTGGGACCAACTATTTCTGACATCAAGACATAAACCATGAGAACTCCACCATAACTACAGGCAGCTGTAAAAAAGCGCATGGCCGTGTAGGCAGTGAAACTGGGAACGAAAGAGGTAACAATTGATGAAATTGTGACAAGAGAAAAGGCCAATATGAAGGTCTTCCTTCTACCGATCCAGTCGCCTACTGAACCCCACAACAAGGAGCCCACTAGCAATCCTGCAAACCAGACCGACTGGGCATAACCAGGTAGATCCTCTCTGTCACAGACCAAGCTGAAATCTTCATTGATGGTGGACTTGTAGCGCGAGTGATCAAACTCCCAACCAGCATCGCAGGAGATGACGTCTGTTGAATTCAAACTCTGGTTTCTACCAACGTCATCATCGTCCGTGGCATAGCGCTCACATGAGGAGTAGACCTGCTTCCCATCGTCGTCAATGTGATAGGGAATACTGTAACTCTTCTGCTCTTCCTGACACTCAGTCGCTGAAGCCAGTTGGAGGTGGCTGCAGTTGATCCTCTGGCTGTCTGGTACGGCACACCAGTGATCAGTGTTAGCAGCCAGAAACACCTGCCCTATGAAGTGAAATGCAGTAGGAACCTTAGCCAACAGCATAACAAACACCAGCAGTTTCTGGTACTTGCCATAAGGCCCGATACGTTGCAAGATGTCTTCGTAATGCATGTTGATTTCTGTCGTTACTTGATCAGTGTGCTGGGTGTGGCGAGCAGGCTAGGGTTTTGTTGCAGTGATCAAAAAAGCTACAAATGGTACCGGCCTGAATCAAGCTGAATCTCTGACCTGTCCCAGACAAAAGTTGACCTTTTCCTTTGTAGATTATGTCCTCTGGAGGGTAAAATGCTTTGTGTGAATAGGCTTATATTAAGTTTTTCCGCCCACTGTGTTTTGCAACAGGTTGGACCGAGCTATTCAGCATGGAATCAGGGTGTGTTGCACGGACAATAATGACCATCTTTTGAATAATAATGACCAAATAACCTTGCCAGATACACCTGTAATTGGAACTCGTTAGGGTACCAGTTCGTGTTCAGGTAACTGATCAACAGCTGCAAGCCAGACGGGTGCATCTCACTTTTTTTTTTTTTGGACTACTGTATCGGTTTGAATTGCTGTAATTTTTGGAATATAAGCCGCGGCTTATACGTTGAATTTGCCCATGAAAATGTGTACTGTGGCTTATACACAGGGCGGCTTGTACGACGAGCCTTGAAGAATAAAAGTTGTATTGTATTGTATTGTTTGTTTTTCCATTTGTTACAAATTAATATAATGCTAAAGCAACAGTTTATTTACTACAGCAATAACTAAATTTAATAGAATGCTAATACATACATGTACAACACTTTGATCAATTAAACATAAATGGTGACAGATGGGGGAACCAGGAAAAAAGCCTAAGCTTATACAAAGCCCCGTTTGTGAATAACTTATGAAATTAAATCTATAATCTACAATTGAAGCTATAAATAAATCAGTGGTCAATAAATTAATTAATTAATTAGTTGGCATAATAGTAGAAAAACTGAAGGAAATTGAAATATACTGATTTACAATATAACATTTGATTATGATGGAATGTGACTTATACAAATGTGAATTATGGGTGCACGTCTTATTATAATACCGGAAATAAGTAGTATGTTAATGACATTTACATTTAAGAAAACATCTGTTGCTGAAATGAATTATCAATTAAGAAAGTCATTAACAAACCAAACGCACGTCCCATGAAAAGGTACCGAGCGGTAAAAAGTACGGCAGGTCGGCCAGCCATGCGTGAGTGAAAGCTCACGGTTTCAGTCCAAAAGTCAAAACAAGTCAAACATTCAAAATTTCCAATGATTTTCTTCAACGATTTTCTTCAACAATTTTACTTTCTGTTTTTCGAAACACGTACTGGTACCCCTCTACATAATGGAGTGTCCAGCTCGCAAGTAAGACGGGAACAACTCCTTTTATGGAGATTGGCGCTCGTGTCCTGCACGATGACATGCAGATGCAGCTGTGGTGAGTGCGTTGTGTGTTTAGGACTATGAAATGCTGACTCACTGGTAGTATTGCGCATGCCAACGTGAGGATTGTGAACATTCAACCAATATAACGGTAAAAGGCACTGGGATTCATAGAGTCCAAACTTCATGTGACACTGGAAAAGTGTTTAAGACCAGCCAGCCATGTCTTGATCATCCGTTTAAAACCGGCCACGTGACGGGCTCTCGACCAATTGGAATGGGTAAACTGTCTGAGGTATTTATGAATATTGGTTTGATTGATTGATTTGTTATCGTCTCATTCATAGTACATCAAATGTTCAGCCTGATTGGCTGCTAAAAAAGTTTCTAGGGTTAAGAATTAATGAGACTGCTCGGTATCCAATTCATCATGTCGGTTTTAAGGCCGTTGTCCAGTCTGTTCTGGGTTGGCCTGCTTTCTCCCTATGGCTCTCCTCCACTTGGCCCTGTCCGTCGCATCCCTCGCATTGACTCCAAGCAGTCGCATGTCATCTGACATGGAGCTCTGCCAAGTCTTGCGCGGTCGGCCGATGGGTGTGGGCCCACCCACAATTACGTTGGTACACCTCTTGACCCAGTTGACATCCTCCTTTCTCTCCACATGACCAAACCACCTCAGCCTGTGCCTCCTCAATACGATGCCGATCCCCTCCACTCCCACTCTCCTCCTCAGCTCCTCGCTTGACAGCCTGTCAGCCAGAGACACCCCACACATCCACCTGATCATTCCAATTCGTTAGTGACTTTGTCATACACCCGCACCCACCACTGATTACAAGTGCCTATTGGATAAACACTGAAGTTGCGTTAATTTCGGTTCCAGTGGTTCTAATGCTACATAATGTGCAGTTGGCGTGGTTTATACCGAAGTGACGTCACACTAACAAACCGGATGGGCTCGGTGCACAAAATGCCCCCTCAACGGTAAGAGAGTGAGAGTTTGGGGAGACCACTGGGAGAGACATTTGAATGCTGCAACGCCTGATGCTCACTTGAAGACGCTATCCGCTCCGTTCACAAGTACCCCGTCACCGGCAAAGAAAGTACAGTTGGGGGTGACCGACTGACGCCATCTTGCCTGAATGCAATTTTGCCTCAACGCGCAGCCGTACCACTGCGTGTACATAGTACAAATCCCCTGGTGTACGTGCTTCACACACAAGGAACGGTGCGCGTCAACCAGCTAAATGTCCCACCCATGGGACGTCGTTGCTAGGTAAAAGGGCGCCCTCTTTGTTAGCGCACTCTTTCGCTGGCGCACTGAGCCCATGGATTTGTGCAGATAACAGTCGGAGTAAAATAAGTAGTGTGTACTTCGTGGTGTATGCGCGTGAACCAGTACGCGCATGCAGTGTGCCCCGTCCACTGGGCTAGCAAAAAGCGCCCTCTCTAGTTGACGCACAGAGCCAATGACTTCCACTACTTGGAGCCCTCCAACTGAAATACCTTAGATTCTTAACATTCAAAGCATTCTTCAGCAGAAATGTTAATCCATTTACTTCTGGCGTTCTTTTCTTTTCTTTTCAAGACTTTCTAAGCCGCCCTTCTAGTTTTTGCCATTCCCAACTAAACCTTTATGGTTGATGTTATAATCATTCAGCCCTCTTTAATCTTTATTGATATTTTGACATTGACAAATTCTTTGATTGTATTTGTTTATCCCAAGAAATTCAAATTATTTCTGCCGCTTTTAAAAACTCTGTTGTCATTTCTACCTGAAAGTCATTTCGTGCTTTTATTGCTCAAATTCAAGGGGATCGACAAAAGGCGGTGGCATGTTAGGAATTTAGGTGAAAAGCTTTGCCGACGTCATTGCATGATAGCAAACCAACAGAGCGAACACTGAAAGCGGTTATAATAAACCTGTTTACTTTAGTCAACTTGGTTGAGTCTGGCCAGCTACAATTCTAGTTATGTTTGTGGGACGTGTATATTTCACTTTATGTTTGTGTATTGTTCCGACTTGTCTTAGTGTTGGTTTGTCCAAGGGGGAGAAACGCAATCTTTTCCTTCACTTTTCCATCCGTGTTGGCATTACTGTACAGTAATGTACATTTAATTTTTGTGTTAACTGAATTGCGTTTAAGGGAATAAATATGTGTTTGACCGGTTTTTAACAAGTCTTGGGGTCTGGACACTGATAATGGCCCGAGCCAAAGGCGAAGGACATTATTGGCGACCAAGTCCCAAGCTGATTTTAAACAAATACTTGGCTTACTGGCCAAGCACATGTATTCCCATTCCTAAATACGTGTACCTTTGGGTCCAAAAGTCAAAACAAGTCAACAATTATAAATTTCCAACAATTTTGTTCAACAGTTTTATCTAATGTTTTTTAAGTAGTAAAAAAAGTAAAGTCTGTCCCGAGCCAATGTGGCTCATCAGGCCGGCGTTTATCTCCGATTTCCTTGGCATGAAACGACTGAGAATATTTCTACTCCCCCAGATGGGATGCTAGTTCATCGCAGGTTACTCCCCAGCTAATGCTGGTACCCATTAATACTCCTGGGTGGAGAGAGGCAAGTGGGGGTGAAGTGCCTTGCCCAAGGACACAATATATGACCAGCGGCTGGATTCGAACCCCGGACCCTCTGATCATGAGTCACGAACCCTAACCACTAGGCCACACACTCCCACACTCCACACACTGTTTTTTAAACACCCCTCTAACTGCCTCTCGCACCTAGTTGTAAACATCTCCCTATTGGCGCGCACGTGGCACATATAGAGCGATGTGGCACAGAAAGCAGTGGTGCCGCTGTAGGCCTAAAGTGTGAATTTACGACTCTCGAAATACGGACTCATTGGTACCGGTAGTATTGCGCATGCCCAAGTGAAGATTGTGAACGTTCAACCAATAAAAGGGTAAAAGGGACCAGATTTCGTAGGAGTCCAAATTTCATGTGTTACCGGAAAGTGTTTTATCAACCGTTTGAAACCACAAACGTGACGGGGTCTCGACCAATAGGAATGGGTTAACTGTCTTATGAATTGTAAATATAACTATTATGTTCCTTGTTCTATGGTTTTATCATATGGACTGTGTTTCCCAACGTGTAATACTGATGCTGATGAAAGCAACTGACTGTAACTCATTAACATTTGGGGCAAGTACATGAAATGTACATATACACAGTCCTAGTATTTCTTTAGTAGGCTACATGTATACACTGCCATCTTCTCTCCTTTTTATCACACCGTTTCCTGGTTTCCCGGGAAAAAGTTCGCGGTAAAATATGTATGAATAAGAGACTGGCGAAGCATACATAATAACTTTGCGAACTGTGGCTGGCCAATTCAAAGCCACGTTTTGTCAAATGTCGGCAACGTCTGAGGGCCTTGTACCAATTGGGTCCTTTTTATAGCTCCGTGGCATTGAGATACTGTGAACAGGGTTGCTGTTCACAATGTACAGTGTAGATGCAGCCTGTTGCAGGTACATGTAGGTATATATATGAACTTTATACTGCAGTACGGATACCAGTACATTTCGGCGCAATGTATACGTTCCCACGATTCTTGATAACCTCAGTGTGTGAACTATTGGGCAAATGTTTGGTTTCATTTATGAAGACTGGCAAGAATACGAGACCCTTTTTAAAAAAAAGGTTATTGGTTAACATTTTGTTAATGAGAGTGATGGAAGAGGTATTTTTTTTAAAACAAAGTTATTTTTTTAGCATGTTCATGATGATGATCACACATGTAACATGTAGACGCTTGCAATATGCAGAGCATTACATTCATTCTGATACACTACCGGTCAGTTGCATCAATTGATTGCTGACTCGTATAATTGATAATAGGCCTACAGTATCGATTTTCAGCTGGTATCGATATCTGATCCCATACATGATACCCAGCACCCGAGATTTGTTCTCAAGTTTAATAAAAGCCATTGGTAGCAGATCAGTACAGAGGGCATGTCAGTACAGTGTGTACTCTGCACTCTCACACGCAGAAATTTATCACAGTTTTTTTTGGGCGTTGGGTTTTGTTACGGCCATGGTTCACCGGTCATGGTTCAGCGACTGTTCATAGCTTCTCATTGCATCACTGCGCGGTCACTGTGCATTGACATGTATAGTGCGGTGGGTGTGGAGAAGTTTGTATGGAAAAACTCTGGAATTTGGATTTGACACTCCGTTGGTACACGAACACCCAGTTGTACCGTGCATGGTGTGTGTGCATGGTGTGTGGCATGCACGACAACAGGCTACTCAAAGCGAACTTCTGGGTTGTCGTGATTGGGTGGATCACGTCCGGATGTGTGCAACAACCAACTTGTAACTTGTGAACTTGGCTAAATTGTGAATACTTCATGTACATGATTTTTAGGAGTGCAAGTGTCTGGCAGTTTCTTTGTGACAACTTTGGTTCTGAAGCTACCTTCTGAAGCTACAGTCCAACTTCGGTTTTATGATAAAGTTGGAGGTATTGGATCTTTGCTCTGCACTTTTGGATGTCACCACACTTGGATTCATAGGAATATATCTGATCTGCCGAGCGTGAATAATCTGCCAAGTTTTCGTCAGGTGAAAAGGACGGTTATTTTGCGTGACCTCAGCCTTGGAATTGTTGGATATCGTGGATTAGTAATGATGTATTGAAATTGGAGGGAATTCACCGTGAATCTTGGATTATGATCAAGGTATACATGTACACAAGTGGCTTCCTGTAGTTTCCAAGGTGAGTTTTGAACATTCCACAAGTTTTCTTCTGAATTTTTCTCACGGCGACAGAACTTTAAAAAAACCCACTTTGGTTGTAAGAATCATGTACATTTTGTAAAATGACATCAGCACAGAGTTCAATTAAGGTAAGGCTAATTAAAGAATATGACTTTTTGTATTTCATCGCATGTGGATCTGGGATTAGTTTCACAAAACTTAATAACATGTCAGCTAGTCTAGTTGAGAAAAGCTGAGTTTAATGGCTGTGGTTGGGTTGTCTTAAAGGCCGGTACCCGCTTATACTCTTTGATGAAACAGGTGAAGAGAGGCAAGTAGGGGTAAAGTGGCTTGCCCATGGACAAAACATATGGCCAGCAGCTGCATGGATTCGAACCCCCAACCCTTTGATAATGAATCTGAAAACTCTAATCACTCAGTCAAACTCCCCAGCGTGTGTAGAGGATAGGGCTGTCATGAATATATACCAAATATTTGAATATTCAATCATCAACTGAATATTCGAATAGTTTTTGCTGGTTCGAATATTGTGAGGTGGGGGTGGGGGTGGGGGTGGGGGAGGGAGAAACACACAATTATGCAGGCACTCATGACTGTTATTTTGATAGTTATGTTCCAAGGGTGCTTTTATGTCAGATGCCTCTTTTTTATGTCGGTGGTAACGTTTTTGGTAAACGGCAGAACTTTCATTGTTCCTATCCTTTTTAGCATGCTAAAGCACCTGAAAGTTATAAAATACTGCAAAAACAATCCAGCGACCCATAATTGTGCTCGCCACACACACATTTTAACGTACAACTTTTGACTGGCACGGCAGGTCCCATAGATGTAGTTGGTTTGTGTAAAACTTGATCAGAGAGTTTCAAATATTTGAATATTCGGTCAAGGGCAGTTTCAAATAATCAAATACTAAATTATCCGAAAATGGACAGCCTTAGTAGAAGATAAAATTAGACCCAAACATTTCAAAATTGTAACCCATCACAATCAGTTGTGAGCTTTCTTGAGCACTTAGAATGCAATTGCAGCAGAAAATTTGGTCAGGCAAATATTGTAAATGGTGAGTAATGTCTGATGTCCGACCAGAATTTCCTCTTCTCGTAGGCGTGACAGGTTTATTCTGTTTGCGTTGTCAAAAAGTGATAAATGCCGCAGCACTTGAACTCTTGACATGTTTTTTGGACATGTATGCTTGACCCAGATGGACATTGTGATGGAATTGTTAGGGCTAGGATCTCACTTGTAGAACTGGCGTCATGTAATTTATTTTTGCACCAACATGTACACATATTTACAGACAAGAACAACAATGCATTCTTAATCATAGCCAATTGCTGAAAATAAGTTCTTCAGAGATATTCAAATTGATTTCAAAAATCTAAAAAATCGGATAAAATCAAAGGACAGACCAGTTATGCATATACATGTATGTGTTGGACGTGAATTTGTATTGACTTGCACATGCACGTCCATAGACCTTGGTATTTCTGTAATTTTGTGTCTGATAGTTAACATGTGTACATAACATTTATGGAATTGTAGTATAAAAATGCTGGTAGTAATCAATCCTGCAATATGGGGGGGGGGGGGGGGGGAAGCCGGTAGCGTATTTAAAAGTGCTGGTTAAATTACATATGTACCACTGTACATTTAGTTTTGAAAAATTTCTTGTAAAGTTCATATGTACATTTACTGGTAGCAAGATGGCAATACAATTATCAATAGATGATTGACTTTCATTCTAATGTTACACTGTAAATTCATGACAATTACTAACACACATACATGTAACTTAAAGGGAAAATGCAACATTTGCAAACATCAAAAAACGATATGATCAAATTATCACGAAATTCCTTACTAAATTGTTAGGGACTGACAGTCTAAAGAATCCTTTAAAATCGTGGCTTCTGGTGGGCTGACATTTTAAAGAAAAACTGTATTTTTCCAACGCTGGTCTGGAGAAAACTGTTTTTTTTCTTCAAAAACTGTTCTTAATTTTTCATATTTAGTTATTCCGCATTTTCTTTGCAATTGATTACACACGTGTGAAGAGGTACAAGCCTGCCAGACTGATTCTCTGACCTTACAATTCCCCAAAGTCTACAAATTGCTTTGTTTCATCGTAAGTGGGGTCAGGGAACCAGACTACAAGCACATGATAGATTTTTTTGGTTTTTCCAGCATCTACAAGCCCAAAACATGAAACAAGTCAGTTTAACAATATTTTATATAACATACATACATGTACTAATCCTCCAATCCATTTATTTCTGAACATTGCAGCAAAAGCCAATGTTGTACATTCCCTTTAAGTAACCAAACCCTAAATAAATCTGCACAGCCACCTGCTAGGCCTAAATGTTGAGCTTGAGTTCTTCCAGTTCATCACACGGAAAGCATGTTGCAACCTGACGCTGCCGGTACTTCGGCAGTCGTGCACAAAGTCTATGGAGATTGTTTAAGTATTTCCTAACAAAATTGGAAATATTTCTCAGTCCAAGATTCATGTCTTATCATCATTTTTGCAATGACTGACTTTCATTGAGATGATATATGAGGGAAATAACAGCGTCAGGTTGCAACATTATTTCCCATCACACGTCTTCAGTACTACAGAAATAGTGGATGCAGTACCCAAAAACTGAAAAATACTATGAGTGCTGTGCCCACTTATATGCTGAAGTATTGCATACTTTACAGTTTACTACTGGTAGTATTTTGTAGCTTTAGGTGAGCTACATGTAGGTTCTAAAGGGTTAAAAAAAAAACACCCCAAAATTTGAATCGTGGAAATTGCTGTTTAGATTGTTTATAAAGGTAGTACGATAATACCACATTGGGGCATCAATACAGCTAGATAAAAGTGTGTACAGTGAGCTGATACATGTAGCTTTACGGTGTAGCCTGGTTTTTATTTGTAAAACCACCCAAAAATGACATGTCTCACTTGGCAAGTTACCAGTGAAAACGCCATATGATGTTAATTGGTGGTGACTGGTTTCCAGCACATTTTGCTTAAATTGGATGGCAGCGAATGCAAACAATCCACTTCTGTATTTGCCGTGAATAGAGTACTTGTTCTGGTTCACGCACTGGTTAGCGTGTTAATGTGTACATACATGTGCACTCACTCTTGTTTAACTATACTCCCGAGGACAATGCTTTGTGTTTTCCTTTGTTCCTGTAATATGTTACACTCTCCCATAGACTAAGCACACAAACCTACTACAGAGGACCGTTTTGAACAAAAGACCCAACTCCCGAGGACTGAAAGGATCTGTTGTTCTCCCTTTGTGTGTCAGTCCTCGGGGGTTATGTAGAACAAGTACACTAAAAGTGCTTGAACCAAAATGCAGGAATACCTGGGTACTTTATTATCATTGTGGAAGCCCAAAGGTATCCTTGTACAATAGTTGCTTGAACGGTAACCACCGGACACATCAAAAGAAACCGCTCTTTCTTTCGAGTCCAGGGACTGACTGTCCGTTCATCCATAGCAAGCAGATGAATCGTTCAAAAAATGGCTTGGGGCTAGTAGACTTTGCTTTTGACATTGCCCTACACGCTTAGAAAAGTCAATTGAAACAAATTGTATGAAGCCGGTTCCTGGGTTTTTTTAAAACATTTTTTAAAGGAAACTTGTACTTTTACAAACTGATCTAATGAGAGAGTATGTTTCTTCATGGGGCAACAAACCCAATTGAGATTGAACATTGTTGGTGGAAAAATATTCAAGTTGAGTTAACCTGTTAAACAGTTTTGTAATAGCGTGGGAACTAAAGAACAATAAACTGAAAGTGAAATACATACAGACTCCAAACAAACTTTAACTGACCTTGATGCTTTTAGGGACCGCTTTGGCTGCCCTCTTCGTGTTGTTTTCCCCCACAAGATTTCCACTCAAGATAGTTGAATATTTTGTATAACAATCATCATAGGAGAAATTAAAAAAAAAAATCAACAAAAGCTCCTGAAAAATTGGACAAAGCTGCTAAACAAACAAATGCAAAGCAAATTTTGTTTTTTCCAGCAAGAATAACAAGTATCAGTCACTTGTATCAATCAAGTGGCAAGCTGGCAAATATTTTCTGTTTGAAGCAAGTTTCTTTGCTTAAAGTCATTTGAAATTTGCCCGAAATTTGCCCCAAATTCTACCTACCGGTACGACCCATGTGGCATCGTTTGTCCAGAAATGTTCATGTGTTTACACATACACTAATTAATAATTAAGTGTTTTAATTAACCTTTTGTTTGATCAGTCACAGACAGTCAAAAATTCAGTGCTGTACCCTTGCCATGCCTTTCACACAGACTAGTCACCAACAGTCAGATCATATTTCTTGTTGGCGCAGTGACAGTCAAATTCCACCAACGCACAAAAGCAGGTGACTGGTAGGCACAGCTGGCTTATCAATCTCCTACCTGTAGTCAGAGCATAGCTACAGTGTACAATGTGTATCAGGTTTCATAACAATCACAGCCATTCAATCCTGCTTTATGAAGGCAGGGAGCACTCTCAACATTTAAAAACAGTCACTTGATTTATTTTGACTGCTGTGCTGGCCTTGTTGAAATTGCCAGCCAGAGTTAATCTTAAATTATTGTGTTTTAATCCAACCATTTTTTTTAGTGTTTGTGGTTGCTAACAGTGTTTCCCCTGGCTAATGAACTGAGCGAGGTGGTAACAATTCAAGTTGATGATTGAAACGAAATGTATGCAGTCTGCAAACTGAAAAGAATGCAGCGCTCACAAAAATGTGCGATGCTTCCAAAAACACATCGAAATTGTGAGTTCTTGATACATGGAGGTAAAGGAAAATGCTCATATATTACACAAAATGAAAATGTTTCAATTGATATTTCCTTTTTTGCCAATCTTCACAGCGAGGTGGTGATATTGGCAAAAATTGAGCGAGGTGGTCACCTCACGTTTGAATATGCAGGGGAAACACTGGTTGCTAATAACAAATGAATAAATAAAATCAATAATTTGAAATCATTCCCTGTTTTGTTTTGCAGATTAGGAGCAATCACATACCAGTAATCGTTTAGCTTGAGTGGATCAGGAACGACAGAGCGTCCTCCGTTTTGGGTCTGGTGTGGTCAACATGCCGATCCCAGTTGGGGCAAGTCGAGACCACTACCGAGAACAACCCTTCAGTCCTAATGGTGCTGCCTACAAGTGAGTAATTCTCACAGAATTCCTGATTTTACCAGCAACACGTTTCACTTAAACTTACTGACTGAAGCCCGGTCATAATGTTAACAATAATGTTAACCCTAACCACCCCAACCCTTCAGAATTCAACTGCATGTTTTGTTAGAATCTGTTTGAGTGAGTACCTCACTAGTAAACTGATTATGCTTTACATGGGTCAGGCACACCACCATATTCAGAGTCCAACAGTTTGGGTGTAAAGTTTACCATGTGGTGTTGGATTTTGCAAGAGTGAGGAAGGTTCCTAGTAAATCACTCAAGGGGTAAGCAAACAAATGTGGTTTGCTGACAAAGTGAAAGATTGCCATATTGCTACAGAACAGCAAGCAATGCCATTATATTTTCATGCCACACATTCCATTGAGATAAGCAGTGCTCCATTTTCTAGCTGAGGGTCCCTCCAAAGTAATATAAAATCAAGCGAAGCCGTTTTGATTTCATACCGCAAATTCCATTAGATAAGCCTTTATTTAAGGGAATGTCTCAAAAGTCGGAACGATGGGAACGTTCCTCCGGGGAACATTGCATGCGTATTTACCCTGTGCATGAATACTGGTGCGCGCTTGGTAAACAGCAAAAATAGCATCTGGCATGTGATGGTGATTGGACCAGTGAGAATTCGGCTCTCGTTCATGAATATGCATGAGGTATAGTAATTGTCACTGTAGTTCAGAAGGATCGACTTATCAAAGATCATCTGAAACCACGTACACACTTTTGGGAAAAGACACCAATTTGAAAGGGTGACAAAAAGAAATAGCCAAATCTGCAATATCATTGGCCTCTAAGCATATAAAACCAGTTCCCGATAAAGAGTTTGTATGAATTCATTTGATGACCTTGCCACTGTGTTAGTTATGTGCCTGTTCAGGCATTCACTTCTTTCTACACTTGTATTTCAGCCGGGCTAGGCCCATCACCTCTTCCATTGTGTGAAGGAATTTGGCCCCATTTTGTCCAACAATAGCGTGATTGTGACTTGCATTGACATCAAATCTGTGTTGTTACAAGGTTGCTGAAATTGGTTGAGAAGCAGGTGGGGTCTCGCCCTCTGAATAAAAAAAAAAAAATCCTGAGGGAATTTGAAGTTTAATTATTTGATTGAGATGACGGTTGGAATTACGGTGTCATATGAAACTTGAACTCCTATGAAATCTTGTCTCTTTTATCTTGAAAAGATTCTAACCCTCACACGTGGCCTGTCAGTTTCCTAAAATTATCTTCGCTCATACGCGATACAACCAATGGGTGACATCATAGAGCCCAGGTTTCACACTACATCGGCCCAGATATTGAGTGCGTTCAGTTAATATTCCTGAGTGCTTTGCTCATTTTGAATGTCTCTAAGAATGGCTTAAGATACTTTTATTGATTCTTCTCTGTTATTTGTCTTTTCTAGTGGCGTAAATGGTATGGATAGATCCAGTATGAGTAATGGTTACGGGCCCAGCCAGTCCATCTACAGAAACTCCAACGGCCCTGGTCGATCTAATGGTAAGTTTATGCTAAAATAAATGCTGTAATATAAGATTTGAGGCTTTGCATGGTGGAGTATCAGTATCGTTTCAGTTTGTGGTAACACCATGTGGTAATAACTACTGCTCAGTAGATATTTAGTTCTGAAAAGAACTTGTCCTGCTTATTATCAACTTTCGCTAAGTAGTTTTTGTTCTAGTAAGAACAGTCCTGCTTTAAGTTCTAAAAGAACTTGTCTTTGGTCTCAACGTTTCGACTAGCCTGCTCTAGTCATCGTCAGGAGACTTCTTATCAGAACAAAAACTACTTAGCGAAAGTTGATAATAAGCAGGACAAGTACTTTTCAGAACTAAATATCTTCTAAGTAGTAGTTATTACCACATGGTGTTACCGCAAACCGAAACGATACTGAATGCTGTAAGCATCCCCACGTCTTATGGCCAACACCACAGCCTACTTTCAAGGAGCTTAAGAAGAAGATATTGCTTCACAAATGCTCCAAAAAAATAAACAAGCTTGCAATGATCTCGGAAGATGCGGCCGAACTGTAGACCTGCTGTAGCCTATAAGTCATGTACATGATGTAAAAGTCTGTTCTTGTAATGCATTTAAACAACTCACGTGGTTGTGACTGTCAATTGAAAAGGATTCCCATTATATTGTTGAACGTCAGTGGTGCATGGAACGTTTTATAGCATGTGGAACACCCAATTTGTGTGTAGTACAGTGATAGCCCCAATGCGAAATGAGTGGCCTCGTGACCCAAGTTTCCCACGACTACAATAAATTGGTAGCTCTGGTCAGTGGAGACTGTTGTTGCGAGGGCCTAAAGGCATTTGGTGAGGTTTGCTACTAACCAACCAACCAACCAACGGAGAGACATGAGTACTTGTAGAGCTGCTAAAAATGTGGGTTTTTTTTCGCAGGCCAATACAGCTCAGGTTATGGCGACCCACGCGACGACCCCCGATTAGCTGCCCACAGACACTCACAGATCGACCCCAATAGACCCATGCAAAGAGAACCCAGCCGACCCATCTACAGAAACCCTATGGTGGGCAAGTCCATGGAGGGGAGGGGTGAGCCACAGAGGGAGACACACAGGGACCCACACAGGGAGCCACATAGGGAGGGGAGCAGGGAGGGGCAGAGAGAACCCCAGAGAACGGCAGCCCCACCCCCGGTGGAAGTTGAAATCAATCCACAGACAGATGTCTACGTGCAGCAGGGGCGTTTCCCTATTGAGGTATGCAATCCAAAATCTGGTGCCAACTGAAGCATTTTATTCTTTTGCCCTTATACAGAGTTTTCTTTCAGCAAAATGAAAACAATCATATAGGGGGGTGTGTGAATTATTTCCGTTTTGCTGAAAGAATGCACACCTTTTTTTGTGATCCGTAGACAGAACTTTAAAGCGGTGGTTGTGTGTAAAATTCCACGACTTGAAAAATACATGGGTGATTTGAATGATTCTTGTACTAAAAGAAAGCTTATGAATTGGGCTTAATATCCTAGATTTTGAAAGTGCTACACGCCGAACTTCATAAGTCATTATTTGACCGTACATGTAGACCACAGTAGACCACATCATTGTCATCACCACCTGCCCAAAACACCAGCCGCCGCACGGTGAATGCGGCCTGATTTACTTGGACGATCACACACAGGCCTGGCTCGCCTCGACAGAGCTGCAGGTCTAAGGACGTACGACAAAAGAAGAAGATGGTGGTGTTGATAATGATTATTTTAACTCTCCTTTCCTTCTTGTTCCTAACCCAGCATTTGTGCACAGTCACCATGGATCGTAAGGAAGGATTGATGACTGTGGAGGACGTGATCCGTAAGGTGCAGAAGCTGGATGCCAAGGGACAGATCTGGTCTCAGTTCGTGGTGCTCACTATCGCAGACAGGGATATTAAATTCATCGATGCTACAACAAGAGTGAGTAGAAGCTGGGGTACTAGACCGCAACATCTGCTAAGCACAAAAATTTGCTTAGCACAAAACAGTCTGGCTAAGTAAAATAAAAGCAGCTTACCAGCCAAAACTCATTGTGATGGATATTGCTTGTGATTAGCATTCAGCTATTGTTTGCTTAGCTTTTATAAGCCAGCACTAAGCACAAAACTTTGCTTAGCACAAAACAGTCTGGCTAAGTAAAATAAAAGCAGCTTACCAGCCAAAACTCATTGTGATGGATATTGCTTGTGATTAGCATTCAGCTATTGTTTGCTTAGCTTTTATAAGCCAGCACTAAGCACAAAACTTTGCTTAGCACAAAACAGTCTGGCTAAGTAAAATAAAAGCAGCTTACCAGTCAAAACTCATTGTGATGGATATTGCTTGTGATTAGCATTCAGCTATTGTTTGCTTAGCTTTTATAAGCCAGCACTAAGCACAAAACTTTGCTTAGCACAAAACAGTCTGGCTAAGTAAAATAAAAGCAGCTTACCAGTCAAAACTCATTGTGATGGATATTGCTTGTGATTAGCATTCAGCTATTGTTTGCTTAGCTTTTATAAGCCAGAGTTTTTTGTGCTAAGCAGATTTGCTGATTTGTGTTTTTTCTGTTCTTCAGGGAGAGTTGGAGGTGTTTTCTATGAATGATATCAGTCTGGTGTCTGCCGAGCTGCATCAGAGTAACTACGACAGTCTGCTGATTATTCAGATCAAGTTCAGCGGAGAGAAGCACCCACAGAGCTATGTCTTCCAGTGTGATCAGGTTCCGGTAAGAAAACCGCCTCTAGCGACAAAAACTTGACTCTTTACTAACTGACTTGGTAGTCTCTCTTTGTCTAAAATAATAGTAAAAAGGTGCAAGTTCAGATAATATATGTATGTTGGCTCATCACAATAGGCAAACTGTAATGATGGATTCAGCAGAAGTTGTGAATTGCAAGTAAATGCGTACCTCATGCTGTTAAAAAAAATTGATTTATTTTGTCTCCTAACAAATTTTCAATTTGTATATTTTGTTTTAACGAAAACACTACTTCGTTCCTATTTTGGGTGTCTGGTACCCTCTGAAAAAGGTTTTCCATTTTGATTGGATAATAATTGGAATGTTGTGAAGAAACAGTTCAATAACTAAAACGTCGGTACTTTTTTCCGTTCGATGTTTTATTAAAAACGAATGACTTTTATATTGCTAGGAAAATTGAAAAAGCGAATCAATTTTTGGAGGTGAAACTAGTAAACAGCACGGGGAAAGATCTTTACATATTTTGCGAACAGAAAATCATCTGAAAGTCTTCTCAAATTTGTGAGGTGAACTTTTTGGTAAATTGTATCGTACTTCCAATATGTATTAATTGAATCATTGGTAAATTATTCATGAACAGATTTTTTTTTATCCATGTATTTGCATTCAATTTGCTATTCATTTATTCATTTATTAATTTATCATTTATTCATTTATTCATATATTCAGGCTGAGGTCATTGCCAAGGAGCTTCAGAAGAACATTGACTACACCCACGGAAGACGAAAGAGAACAACAAGGTAATTTATCTGGAACATTAAAAATGAATTTTAAATTCTCATTGACTATTCTCTGACTACGTTAAACTCATGTTAAGACTTTCTCATTAAACGCAAGTCACTCTTTTGTAAGACTTCCATTAACAAACATGTCAAGATTTAATTAAAAACTATAAATATGAAGTCTCTCTGAAAACCTAAGATCTCTTATTCGTTCACAATAAAAACCTAAGATCACTTATTCGTTCACAATACAGTGTAGCAGACCTTTTTTGTCCTACATAATCTGTGAAGTTGTTAAGGAAATGAAAAATGTCAGCTTTTATTATATTTGGATAATTAACTGATGATAAACATGACTAGTTTTTTGCATGGCCACTGAGCAAACTCAATACGCACTTATTGAATTTGGAGCAAATAAATACAACCGTTCCCACGCAAACAGCTTATGTGCATCGTTCATCCGCATCTGCATTGTGTAAAAGATTAACCAATAGTCATATGATAAGACCTGTGCATACAAGCGTGATGGCTTCAGTTTACACAAATGTTTACGTTTCTTGTGCTGTCCTGGTGCCAATGTAGGTTAGGTTTCATCGTTGAAACTGAGAAATGAATGGATACAGTAGATCAGATGAAGGGACAGTTTAATGAATAATCTCTAGTTTCAGGGCATGAATGATTTGCAGAGGGCTTGGAGTTTTTCCCGGTCATCTGGCGAGTTTTTTTCTTCATGCAGTTCTAATTCTGTTCATCAATTCAATTGAACTTTGTACTTGATTGAATTATGAAACCTGTAAGGAAATCTGCGTTCAATTATTATAATTTCTGCTATACGTTGTACATGGACCTGGTAATAGTACCGGAGTCTTATATAGCACATGTATCTACCAACATGACAAACAATTAGGTACCCAAGGGGCTGGTAGTATGTCTATTTTTAAAGACAGGTAAATGAAGTTTATGAGAAAATATGACACCCCTTATGTAGCACCTTATAAGGGTTTACAAGGTGCTGCGGCGCATATTGCAGCCACTGCCAGAAACACACAGTCGTGTTTTACTATACTCTCAAGGACAATGCTTTGTCTTTTCCTTTGTCCCTGTAATATAATACTCTCCCATAGACTAAGCACACAAACGCACAACCGAGGACCGATTTCAACAAAAGATGAACTCTCGAGGACAACAAAGAATCTGTTGTTCCCCATTTGTCTGTCTGTCCTCGGGGTGTATATAGCTCACGTACACCGGGGCAAACCCTTTCCACTTAGCAAGAAGTGTTAATGGGTTCCTTAACGTGCATTACACAACACACAGGACCTCCGGCTTTACGGCCCATCTCTCCACCCAGGAGTAAATGGGTGCCTGTTATGGCAGAGTTGGTGACTGTGAAAGTGGATTAAGGCCAAGAGTGACGAAATGGCTGCCTACCGGCCGTGTATGCTCCCCAGGGAGTTGAGAAAGTTTCAATAGTATTTGCCTGTTGAAAAGAGTTAATAATTGTTAATGGCAATTCCACGGTTACTCACGTTACATTTTCGTAACGTGAGTGTTTTGTGTGTCTTGTTTATCATACATAACACATTTTTCTGGATGTCATCTTTGGTGCTTAGGTAGGTCTAGGTCTACTCTATCTACCATGGGGATAACAGTTATTAAACCTTTTCAGTAAGGTAATTACAGCCAAAGGAAACTCAAAAGTACATCATAAATGTAACGTGAGTAAGGCCAAAAAAAAAATTAGTCGGTCTCTGGTCAGCGCGCGCATCGATTTTAGTCATGCGCGTCGATCTTTTTTTTTTTCCCAAAATGTTCCGCGGTAGCTCCAACAGCGCCCTCTATTTCCGCACCTACTCAATTTTTTTTTACCAAAGAGCACCAAGGAATTGGAAATTGCACCAAGGCAAATGATTGAAAGCACCAAGGCAAATTATGGAGGACACCAATGTGCATGAGGACACCAAAAAAGCAAAATAGTACCCACCTTGTCCGTACAATCCAAGCTTGAAGAAAAAAAAAAAAAGGAAAAAAAAAAAAAAAGCCGCGTGGCCGCGTCAACTCCGGAACTTTGGTCTGACCAGAGACCGAACATTTTTTTTTTTGGCCTAACCATGGATTTGCCCTAAAGCACTTTGATACCTTGTTGAAAGCGCTGTATAAATGCCTGTTATTATTAATGCAGTAATGTCTCCCCCTTGATGTGTCTCCCTCCCCCAGGCCGGAGGTCCGGTCTGACTACAGAAATGCCAACTATCAGGATCGTCAGATGTACATCCCTCCTCCTCCTGATGAGCCTGCCCCTCTGCCTCCCTCTGAAGGCAACGTCCGTGACAAGGTGGCTGCGTTTGCAGCAGCTGCAGCCATGGCTCAGGGTGAGTACCAAACTTCAAACAGATTTTTCCCCCAAAAAATCTTGCGCTGAGCAAGAATGAACCGAGAACCAGTGCCAAGCAAATGACAATGTATTACTTTTTGGCTGGTAACCCAGTTTTTCTAAGCGACTATTTTCTGTACTTACCAAATGTCAGTGCCTGATACAATCGACCCTCCTTAATACAAACTCAGCCGGACCCAGTCAAAATGTTTGTTATATTAAAAGGAGTTTGGTCCCATGTATTGTGCACAAAAATGCACAGTTTTTTTTCACTATACATGTACACTGTAACCAGAGTTTGTATTAACCCTCCAATGCAAACATACATTTCGTGCCAAGTTGTCCTTTCAGTCAAAATCAATCAAGTGACTGTTTTCAGCAGTTAGGAATTCCCAGCCTACATAAAGCAAGATTGACTGGCTGGGGCTGTTTATGTAACGTGATACAGCTATGCTTTGACTGTGGGTAATTGATGAGCCAGGTGTGCCCACAACTTGCCTGCTTTGTCAGTTCATGGTCTGTTGACTGAGTTTGACTAGTCACAGTGCTTGCTTGACATGTGATCTGCTGGTGACTAGCTTGTGTTAAAAGTACAGCAGGGGAAATGGATAGTGGACATTTTGACTGTCTTTGACTGGTTAAATAGCAGGAGGGTTAATAAAGTTTGTATTAACGAGAGTCGACTGTAAACAGTAATGGCTAATCATTCACAGTAAGTCAGAGTTAGTTAGGGTATAAATTCATGAAATTTCTTAAAACATCTTATTGTTTTGATGTACGTGATTTCATTCCCATCGGTGCAGATTTATGCTAGGTTCACACATTCCCGATTTTTAAGCCGAATTACCATGAATGGCAATTTTTGTGTAAATCGGGGATGGTTCTTGGCTGCCTCGGGATGATTCTGTTAGTTCGGTGAAAGATCCTTAAAGATCGGGAAGCGCCCCAACAAATTTGAATATGCTCAAAATTGTCGGGGTGATTCGGGAACCAATTTCAATTCTTGGTTTATTCTTGTTGTATTCATAACTAATCTGTGAATATGTGAACCTAGCATTAAAAGTGGGGCAACTCGAGCGTATTGAGCTGCCATCTTTATTGTCAACGCTGCAGTTTATGCTTCGCAGACCACAGAGTACCTATCACAATACAAAATATCAACAATTGAACTTTCCATTGTGTATGGAAAAATGTGGGGTTGCTGCAGCCTACTAGTCAAGCAGATCGGTGCACAATATGATGGAATTGTTCATTTGATGATAAAAGCATGAAATTTGGCACACAGTCAGAGTATGCCATTGGAAAGATATTTGGCTATAGGGCCATCGCAGATTTGTCCTTTGAAAAAATATCATAGAATAATTTGCAATGGCTGCCATTTTGAAAATTTTGAAAATTTCTTGTTAGGCCAAAAAAAAAAAGTCTCCAGTTTCTGGTATGGAGCTTGCCCAAAAAGTGGTGCGGCGACACGGCTTTTTTTTTTTTTACCTGATTTTTTTGCTTCAAATGTCAGCTGATGACTGCAAATGGTGCCCGACTAAACTTAATGCAAATATATGGGAGTCTAGAGAGGCCACATAAAGCTTATTCTCGACCATAACCCAATCTAACACACTTTAAAATTGTGCAGCAGCAGGATTCCTGTCAAACCAGTGAGTTTGGCGGTTTTGAGACATCATCTTTCATTGAAAAAAAACTTTTTCATTTTGCCGACGCACATGGCTTCGGCGACGCGCGCGCAAACCAGAAACCGGAGCCTTTTTTTTTTGGCCTAATGCTCTATGGCTGTACTATACAGACTTCTTTCATATAACCCTGTTATTCATTTTTTTTTTTTTTAATTCCAGCAAGCGGAAGTAATGTGAACCGTGGGTTCCAGTATCCCAAGTCCATGCCGACGCGTAACTCAGAGAGCGATGAGCCACTGGAGCTGATTGCACTCAGGACTGAGAGAGACGTGGTGAGTTGCTGGTCATGTCTCTGTTTTGATGGGGAGGGGGTGAACCTGTGTTCACAGGAACGGAGTGCCCATCTCTCTTTCGAAGTGATTGGGCCAACTAAGAGAATGGTTCTGAAAAGAACCAGAGGTACATTGACGTTCCGGTCAGTATGCTCCGACACTCTCACTCTCTCCTGAAGACGGTCAGAGCATACTGACCGGAACGTCGAGTTTATACCTCTGGTTCTTTTCAGAATCATTCTCTTAGTTGAGAAATTATTCGCACATGGTGTTTCCGCAAACCTTTCATTATTTAACTTCATACTGTCCTCATCTTAAGTAATTCTTTTTATTTCCTCTTTCTTCATTTCAGGAAATTCTGAACCACTGTTTTGATGAGATTGAGGCCTTCATTGGGCTACTGCAGAAGGCAGCTGAGGCTTACACAGAGCTCGGCCGTCGTCGTAAAGCACGCAAGAGCAAGAAGAGAGAACCAGGTGACGGCCTGCTGCTGGCTCGATCTCGACCCCCGCCAGAATCCGAATATATCGAGTGCTTCAAAAAGTTCAAATTCTGCTTCAACTTGCTGGTAAGTGTCCTTTATCAGTGTGATAGCTGATGCACATTATTTTGTTCAAATTCTGCTTCAGATTGTTGGTAAGTTTTCTTTATGAATGTCAACACAGCAGTTGATTCACATGCATTGTTTTGTAGAAATTCTACCTCAGTTTGTAAAATTTTTCTTACGTAATGAACAATTATTCAGTCACAAATTTGTTGACCTGTATCTGAAAACTAACAAGTCAAATTACAAACAAAATTCAGTTCTGGTTTTTTTTTTATGTAGGCCAATCATTACACCAAATATTTTAATCTGTGAGGGTCGGGTGAAAAATCATGTTGAATTGACATGGAAGGACCAGTTCTCCAGGCACGCAACTTTTCCTCTGATCCGCTGATTTCCTCGTTTTTTTTTTTTACTTCTCAAGAATGCTATTACAAATTGAAAAACACTATACAAAGTCTTGAGTGCTGTGGAGTTTCCTCGTTTTTCTTAATTGCCTGGTTCTCCTTATCTACACAGGCAAGACTCAAGAACCACATCCATGACCCCAACGCTCCCGAGTTGATCCACTTCCTCATGGTCCCCTTGGAGCTGATCATCAAGAGCTGTGCAGGAACCGACTTGGCAGCCAACATCGTCTCTCCTCTCCTGACCCCTCAAAGTGTCGACCTCTTGAATAACTGCTTGACCTCCCGTGAAGCTGACCTGTGGAAGTCATTGGGTCGCGCCTGGTCTGTGCCCTCGTAAGTTGAACTTTGTTATTAATTGCTTCTCATCGTCTCTGAGAAAAGGTGTTACCTGTCAGGGAATAAGATGAGTTTCGTCTTTGTTTTGATTCAGATGGTTTGTGCCAGGAATCTTAGATGGTCTTAAGAATGCGTACTAAATGAACAGTAATCTCATATACATGTAGCCACTTACGTCACCTGTAAAAATAGCATTCAACTGACACAAACAGAGTGTCAAAATTCAGGTGTCATTTAAAAAAATGTCAGATTTGTTTCTAAGTTTTGTGGCTAAAAGTGCGGAAAGAATGTTGCAACCTGACACCACTTCAGTGGTTGTGTACAAAGTAAATGGAGAGTCAAGAATTTTTTTAAAGTATTTCCTAACAAAATTGGAAATGTTTCTCAGTCCCGGATTCATGTCTTATCATCATTTATGCAATGAAAGACCTTCAGTGAGATGATATATGAAGAAAAGCAGCGTCGGGTTGCAACATTCTTTCCAAAAGTGCTGTAGTTTGGGACAGGGTGTCACGATTATTATGTGCCGCTCTAATCTTGGGTAACGAAATGTCATGTTGTACATACCGCAGTACGGAGTGGCCCAAGGAGCGACCGGTTCCCCGCTATACACCCTACTTCCATGATGGCTGGACACCACCTGCTCTGCCTGACAATCCTAGGCTGGAGGTGAACGCTGCTGTGGCTGCCAGTGCTGCTGCCGTCGCCCGCGGAGAACTCAGGGACCGTGTCCCAAGTGTAAGTAACCTCTTGGTTCCTCTCTCATTTAAGAGTTTTGTGCATTGTTCGATGTGTCATTCTATTAATTTTTTTCCTGTCCCTGTTATACTAATGTCTATGATTTTATCATTCTGATGCACTCCTTAATGCAGTCGTCCTCCAAGAGTGATTATGAATAGCAAACTACCTACCCAACCAATTGTTTGAAGTCATTCTTCATGATACTTGAATGACAAATTATACAGGTCAGAGGTAACAGGGACAGGAAAAATGTCAGACTTCGGACCCTAAATTTGTAGAATAACCCAGATATGAACGTCAACTTCAGATTAGTGTGTTTTACCTTAATATGAACGTCAACTTCAGATTAATGTGTTTTACCTTGTTCTGTTTCTTTGTCACTGGACAGTTGCTAATCCTTCCAAAAAGTGAGCATTTTTTTTAGTAATTACTTCGGAGGATAAGATAGAAAGATGACATTTGGATTGGTTTTGTTTATTCCTTGATGTTCAGGGTTCAGATTACTCCGAGGGCGCTTACAATGGCAACAAACGTAACAGCAACAGTAGCAGTGTGTCAGACCAGCTGCGTCCAAGCACCTCAAGGTAAGGAGACAGCTTCACTACTGTCAAGAGATTGTGGGTTCGAACCCCGCCGTGGCCATGCGTGTTGTGCCCTTGAGTAAGGCGCTTTACCTCAATTACTCCTCTCAACCCAGGTGTTAAATGGGTACCAGCATTATCAATGCTGGGAAGGTAACAGACTCGCTGTGGATTGTGGTGATCCCCCCACAGCAGCATTTCATGGACTCGAGTCTGGCCCAATTGCTTTCGAAAGAGAGATGGGCACTCGTTCCTGTGAACACATGTTCGTCCCCCCTACTGTGCAAACCATCCCAGCTTCAAACTTTGACCAATTCAAAGTAGAATTTAATTTTCCTGCCTGCTTTTTAAAATTTTTTGAAGCAGCTGAATGCATTCCAAACAGATATTGCAGCCAGGGGAGAGATGCGTTGTTATCGATGATTTCAAGAAAAGAAAGAAAAAGTAAAAAACAAAGATAAATATTGTTAGTTTAGGGTGATAGGAACCTTTGCTGCCATTTTTTATTGATAAAAAAAAACAACTTTGGGTTAATGTTCGATGGCAAAAATACCAAAAATGCCAAAAATGTACTCAGACTTGTCTTGCCACATTTTGAGAAATATTGAATCCAACTTCGTTTCTAGCTTAAAATGAACCTTGATCTCCTCTCTTAAATCCAAGTTGTTGTCTTCAATAGTTATGTGTTCTTTTTGCCTTGTTAGGATTCAAGACAACCCGCCCCTGGTCTCCGCCAAACCTCCAGCCAATGTTCCCCTCCCTCCTGGGGTCAAAGGTTACGTCAAGCCACTCTTTGACTTCGTAGCTCGCAACGTCAAAGAGCTGACCATCATGTCTGGCGAAAAACTTGAGGTATGGAACAAGTCAAAGAAATTATTTTATATTTATTATAATGTAAATTTTGTTTTTTATTTTTCACACTAACAAAAATTCCTGAAAAGAAAATATGAGCATCCAGTTTATTTCCGATTTTTTTTATTTTTATTTTATTTCTCCACTCTTCTGAGATATTCACAAAAGGTTTCAAAGATTGAAAATATGTAAAATAAAAATTCAATGCAACATATATTCTAAGTTTTCTGTTTCTAATGGTTCATGTTAAATGGGGGAATTCTATAACTCTTGTGTTACAAAAAAAAATCTCTTTTTTTTCCAGTAATGCCATCTGAATGTGAATTCTTTCATAAGTGTGTAATAAATTTGATTCTTAGCATCCAAAAGTCACCTTTAACCCTAACCACCCCAACTCCATCAAAATGCATGCCCCGTTTTGGTGGATTTTGTGAGACTTGTCCAGAAGGCCTGGCGTGACTAAATATAGATGGAGTATGATGGACTTGGGCCTGGAGGCCTAAAGTAGTGCTAGGGGTATCCGATTGATTTTGCCTAGCTTCCTGTACTGCTATTGTGATAAAAGCCATGTTCAGCAAGTCCATAAATGTCAACCAGTGCGTCAGTGGTGGATTCCATTATTTCGTGTACAGTTTTGTATTGGAAGCAAAGTGATTGATGGATTTTGATGGACTTGGTCCACTTCCTAGTAACAGATGCTAGGGAGTTAGGGTTAAACATTATTAAGAAGCTAGTTACAAAGAAATGACGGTCAATTCTTGATGATATTTTTGCAGCTCTTGGAGGATAATCGCAAGTGGTGGAAAGTCCGCAACTCCTCAGGCCAGTACGGCTACGTTCCCTCCACCATCCTGAGTGTCATCACACCCAACCAACAACAACAACAACAACAACCAACACGCAACCCCAACTTCAACTCAAACCATCACGCCCCTTCCCCTCAGACCCCGCCCACACCCCCGCTGCTGGGCGCTTCCACTTCCTTTGACCAATCCTTCAACAGCAGCAGCAACTCTATGCAACTGAGGGCCATGAACCAGGTGAGTCCATTGTGATGAAAGGGGTGTTCTTGATTGTAGGATTTGTTTAACCAACCTTTGAATATCAAGCCCTAAATGATATAATCATAGCTTGGTACTACAATACTGAATCAGTCAAACTATTGCAAAACCTGGTCCTTAATATTTGTGGAGTTTGGTTAGTTAAGGTTTATTAAAAATAGAACAAAGTGCATCTTATGTGAAAATAATAAAATGTCCTGAATGTTTTAAAACATATCATTCATCATGTACATTTTTTTGCTCTTTTGTTTCCGCTTGCTATTGGATTTTTTCATTTTTGTGTGTGCGTATGCAACCAAAGTGGAAGTCATATTTGTCTAGGAGACAAAAGACGGATAAACAAGACAAAAGGAACAAGTCAAGTAACATCTCTGAAGTCAGTCCGTCAGCTAAGAGGATTGCTTCAAAAACAAAACAAGCAAAGACTGAAAAGATCCTTGACAAAAACAAGGAAGCTTCAGCCAATCAGAATCCTGGATGTATTCCACCTGTAATGAATATTCAGATATTTAAATTAACCCGTGTATCCATTTGGTTTGTGTCAAAAAATTTTTTAAATGTGAAGTAATGATTTGTTAATCTCTGTATAAACCAAATAATCCATGTGTATCATTTTCTTGACTATTTTATGGTGGTAATAAAAATTGTCCTGAAATGTAAAGTTTTGTATTTTGACATAAATTCTAAAAGGTAATTGTTACCTAACGTTTGTCGAAATAGTTATATTTTGATTTTTAAAAAGTTGCGATGTTTAGTCAGTGTTTATCTAACAAAGAGTTTGATTGGAGAAGACTTGACATTGTGACCCTAGAACATATGACCATAACCTTTAACCTTTGACCTTGACAAGTCCTAAATTTGAAGACATGCAAGTGTTATGTTTGTTTGGTCTTCTAAAATAAATAACTGTTCGGTCTTCTAAAATAAATAACTGTTCTTATCAAAGCCTGTATTTTTTCTTGATGAAATGTGACCATGTTTATACCCTGTGTGTTATTTTTTTTGCAGGCTCCGCCCCCACCCCCTCCTCCCCCGGGACCAGCGCCACCACCTGCTCCTCTCATCAGAGGTAAATTGACTTCACTAATACTACTAATACAGGTGCACCAATACTTAGAAAGAGTCGATCAAATTTTGACAAAGGTGGAGTTGTATCTGATCAAAATAACTTCGTTGTCCCTGAACTTCCCCAGATTGCCCTGTGAATTACCCCCTTAGGCATGAGAATCTTCCTGTTTAACATGAATTCCTGGGGGTTTTTTTGTTGCCCAAATTTCATTTTTATTTATTTTGAGCCTGTTTTGGGGCTTTTTTGGCCTGATTTCACATCTTTTTTCCTGTTTTTACACAAGTTTCCTGTTTTTTTTTCATTGAAATTCATTCTCATGCCTGCCCCTTACTACCCTAAACAGCCCTGCTTACCACTCCCATACCACCCTTAACTGCCCCAGCGCTCCATGGTTTTATGGGTTCCCCAAGGAATAAATACTTTAGTGGTAATACATAAGTAAGCTAGTAAGCAGGAGGTCGTGGGTTCGAGTCCCCCCAAATGATTTTTTCCTCACAATCACTCAGGGGCAACACTGAGTAAACCGAGTTTATAAAATACGTCGGTGAAGGGCAAAATCCAATATTAAATAAATAAAATGTGAGTGCGCTAATGGGTTCAAATCCTTCTTTTTGTTGACATTTATTAAGTCACCATCCTGCTGTGTGACATAAGAAAACTCCTCTTTCTTATCCTCTGCTACCGGCTTGGAGCAGATTGTGACCCAAACATTCTATTCTTCTGTTCTGCAGAACACAACAGCCTTGATTTTGCCACTCAACTGAAGAACACACTGCGCAAGAAGGAACTTCAGAGGAAGGGAGTGAACGGTAAGTTAACCCTAACCCTCTGGGGTGTTTTAGCTAGAAACCCTGCCAAACGCAGCAACATGCAACACTTACATGTACAAGCCTGCCCAAGTTCCATCAGGTCAAAAGTCTCAAGGCCACGCTGCCTCAGAGTCTGTGGTCAACGCACACAGCAGGATACAACTGTGGCATTGTTCAATGGGATTAGCTCTCATTGTCTCAGAAGTGGTCGTTCATGCACTGGTGTTGGTAGCTGAATGCATCAAGTGCACCAGACCTGCTGCACTGTGTTGCGTCTGGCAGGGTTAGAGCACGGTCTCTATCGCAACGGACAAAATCCCTGAATAAATAAGTTTCCTTTGAAAGGCTAGTCTGCATTTACCTGTTGTCTTCCTGTAACTAATAAACGCTAATTTGCAGTCTTATGCTTGGTCTAACACAATGCTTAACAAGCTAGACTTTTAACACATGGCATGTGCAATCTTGTTAAATATTTTTACCCGCCAAAAGAATAAAGCATTGTTTTACTCGTCAGGAGAAAATGAAAACCCACGAGGATAGGAACTCGTACCTGCATCTGACAAATTTTCAGAATAAAGAATGCTGCTTGTTAACAATCAAATTGACCTAAAGTCTTTGGATCTAACAAAAAAGCTAATTGAGAGTAATGCAAGCTTTGCTTCCGGTTCCGAGGCACTAACAAAACTATTTTGCTTTTCTCCCGTTCTTTCCCCTGCTAAATGTCCTGTCTTATTCCCATGCCGTCTGCCCTCTCCCCCCTCCCCCGTTCTTTTTCTTCATTTTCTCCTCTGTGATTCCTGTCTGCACTTCTCGCATCTCAACCCAATCTTTGTCTTTCATCACCTCGTCCATTTTTCTGCTCACCCATCTTAAACAATTCCAAACAATCTTGTGTCTTCCTTCTTAATCACTGCACCCATCTCATTTCAATCCTTCCACCACCCTCCTCTGTCAATTTCCGCCTTCTTAAACATCATCCGCATCTTCATCCTTGCATCATATATCCCAATCCTGTGTCTCATTCCTTTCCTATTTTCCTCGTCGTTAACAATCCATCATCCACCTGTTGCTTCCTGGCTGGCCATCGTCAAATCCCTGCTCATGGATATACTCCACGTCCTAACGTCTTCCTCACCCAATCCACCTAACCCCACCCCTCCACTGCAAACAATCAATCCACCCATAGTTGAAGATTTAATCCCAAACCGTGCAGAGAAGACGCACACAGATCTGCATGAGGAGTTGATGAAGCGAGTCAACCAGGGCCCGCCAAGGAACTTCAACATCCGACGTACCTCGGGAGCAAGTGTCAACATCAACTACCTGTCATCGGCAGACGATGTCACTAAGTGGCTACAGAGTAAAGGCTTCAGCAAACTGTGAGTACACAATAGCTCCTCTTCTGAAAATGAGCTCTCGGACAAAGATTTTGACTGTTGAACTTACTTGACACTAAGATTTGAGGCTTTGCATGGTGGAGTATCAGTCTCGTTTCGATTTGCGGTAACATCATGTGATAATAACTGCTGTCACTCAGAAGATATTTGGTTCTGATAAAAACTCAGTCTCCTGACGATGACTAGAGCAGGCTAGTCAAAACGTTGAGACCAAAGACAAGTTCTGTTAGAGCTTAAAGCAGGACTGTTCTTATCAGAACTAAAACTACTAATAGCGAACGTTGACAATAAGCAGGACAAGTTCTTTTCAGAACTAAATATTTAATGAGCGACAGTAGTTACTACTACATGGTGTTATTGAAACCCAAACGATACTTACTTGAAACTTTATCAGAGTTTCCACATAGTTAGCTCTTATACATTCCAATGCAGCTATTACCAGTTAAACAACAGGCCGAATTCCCCTTCATTTTCCAACTCATTATCCAAACAGACAGGAACAAAAAATTAATATCTTTGCATTTTAGCTTTACAATTGCCTCAAAGCTTGTCCAATTTTGTTTCCTTTCGTCAGTTATCAGGTTTATTCTGTTGTCAAAGTGGTGTATTGGGATTGAATCCAATTCTATGATTCATACCTGTACCACCCTCAACTACCCTGCCTGTTACTCCCTGTATAATTCCAAACTGCCCTGCCTTTTACTCCCTGCACCGCTTCAGCACTGTATGGTTGTATGGATTCATCAGAGCATGCATACAATGTAAAACAATGTAATACAATGTATTACAATGTAATACAATGTAATACAATGTAATACAATGTTATACAATGTAGTACAGGTGGTAGTGGGTTAAGTGTGAAGCTTACTGTGGTGAGTAAGATTTTAGGCTTTGCATGGTGGAGATACTAAATAATGAAAGGTTTGCGGAAACACCATGTGGGAATAATTTCTCAACTAAGAGAATGGTTCTGAAAAAGAACCAGAGGTATAAACTCGACGTTCCGGTCAGTATGCTCTGACCGTCTTTTAGGTGTTTAGGCACTCTCTTGAAGACGGTCAGAGCATACTGACCGGAACGTCGAGTTTATACCTCTGGTTCTTTTCAGAACCATTCTCTTAGTTGAGAAATTATTTGCACATGGTGTTTCCGCAAACCTTTCATTACTTACTGTGGTGATTTTAATATTCTCATAAATTTTTGACAGGACTGTGGACAGCCTGGGAGTCTTGACTGGTGCTCAGCTTTTCAGCCTGACCAAGGAAGAGCTGCGTCAGGTTTGCTTTGACGATGCCAACCGCGTCTACAGCCAGCTGATGGTGCAGAAATCAGGCCTAGAGGTGAGTGGTTCTAACTGGTTCTAACTGGTTCTGACTGGTACTGACAGGTTGTGTAAGGCTCTAACTGGTTCAGATTTTGATAAAACCTCAACTGGTTCTTGGCTGGGACTGACTGGTTCTGGTTGGTTCTGACTGATAGTGACTAGTTTTCACTGGCTGTAACTTGTCCAACTGGTTCCAGTTTGATTGATACCGACTAGTTTTTGGCATTGACTGGTTCCGACTGGAACTGACTGGTTCTGGCAGGTTTTAACTGGTCCTTGCAGGTTGTATCTGGTCCTGGCTGATTGAGTGATATTGACTAGTTTGTCACTGGCTGTGACTGGTTCTAATTGATTGATGTTGACCGGTTCCGACTGGAATTGACTAGTTTGGGCTTGTACGGACTTGCTCTTACAGGTGTCTGGTACTGGCCGGTACCTTCTTGTTTCCGTTACCTAACAGTGTGAATTTTTTGGGTGTTAACCGGACAACATTTGCAGTTCATAGACAGAAACTCCAGCTGGATTTTAGTTTCACACAGAACAACTTAAGGAAAGTTTCTAACCAAAATGCAAAGATCGTTAAGTCTCTTGGATTCTCAATCTTTCAAAATCCTCATTGCAGTTTGGGAGGATTTTGGAGGATTGAGGATGAATGGTGTATGAAAAATATGAGGATTTTGGAGGAGTGAGGATGAATGGTGTTTGAAGAAGAGGAGGATTGAGGATGAATGCACTTTTAGAGGCAGGACTGTCTGACGATTTTGAAGGATTGAGGCAGTGGGTATCCTTCATTTGAATATGAGAAAAATTTGGAGGATTTTGAAAGAATTGAGGATGGTTCCTAGCAAAAAGGCCCTAGGGTTAGGGTGAATGACTAACCAGCACAATATTAACACTCACAAGAGTTCCAATGTGTGGATTAAATTTCATTTCATTTATTAACCCTTTAAGCACCCACGTACGATTGACTTCCAAATGTCGGACACATTTGTCCACTTGTGGTGTGGGATCTGAAGCTGGGGCAAAAGTACATACACGTGAATGTGGTGTTGGATATTAGCTTGTATATTTGGTGTGACGGTTCAGTAACTGAATAACTGAAGGTGAAATTCGGACGGACTTCATGGAAGATCATAGGGAGTCAGGTTGGCGTAGCGGTACTTTCCTCGCCTTCCACTGCTGTGACCCGGGTTCGATTCCTGCCCGGGCCAATATGTGGATTGGGTTTTCAGTCCCTACTTGATTCCGTGGGTTTTCCTCGGTATAGTCTTCAGGGTTTTCCTCCCACCACTAAAACTGTAATTTCTTCACACTGTCTTCTCTTTACTGGGCCCCATGGGAGACCTGTGGTTTCCACTGAATGGGCTACCCAATTAAAATAAGAATTCAATAAACTAAATAAAGTAAATCATTAACAAAACTCTGGCGGCACAGATATGTGTCATTACATTAGTTGTTGGTTGGGTTGGGCAGGAATATTTACCTAAGAAATTCCACAAAAGCAGTAATAGGCCATCAGCCTGGGGTTTGGTCGGTATCAAATATGCACCCCTGTAGTTGGAAAATATGTAATAGCATTGCAGCGGTGGCAGCTTTTTGGGTGCTATCACGTTTTTAAACAAATGGCGGCCAAAACATGCTTGTTATACCACATACAATTAATCCAGTAACAAGCATATTGACAGCCATTTTGGAGAAACAAAATTAAGATTGATACAAAACTGCCACCGCTCACACTGCAAAGCTATCACACATTTTCCAACTCTAGATGTGCATACCTTGCCAAAAATCTCTATGAGCATTGCTCCTTTCGATCAGTTGATATCGGCGGCCCAATTTCGGCCCGATTCTGATATAATTGGCAGCGTTATCGTTACTAAGAGGAGCTGTTCTCTATGTTGCTGTCGTAGGATAATACCAACACATCCTCTGAACTCAAGGCTATAATGGACAGACGGAAAGTTCGCTCTATCTCCGACAATTCCAGCGAGCACGACAACTCACCGTTCAACTCGCCCCCGCCCGATTTCAATCCCGCGGCACCGCCCGGTACATAAACTCCATCATTCTCAATTGGGCACTTATTCACAGTCAGGCGGTGTTAAAATCGCTGAAAACCGATCACACTGTGATAAAATTTGAAGAGTTTGAAAGTCTTTTTGTCCGGTTGCATGCTGGGTACTAACACTGCCTGACTATGAATAGTGGCCCAAGTATTCACTATTTCTGAAATCATGTTGTTTTGTACTGTTACACTAATTTGTTTTCTTCTTTGATCGTACTGACACTTATTGTCACTAACCAATGATGTATTTGACTTCAAATTTACCAAATACGTATTTGGTTTGAAAATGTGTTTGTAATGTACATTTGTAGTTACACAAATCCGTGTTTTCCATTCTGAAAATGTCTCTTTGTTTGTAATTCATTACCCGTTTTCATCCAAATAACAAACCATTATTTGTATCCCGCCCACGATTTAACCTTCATTAGCACACATTTCAATTCCCATTTGTCCTTTGCAAAAGGTTTGCCACCAAATGTAAATGTTTATAACCTCTGATCGATTTTATTTTTACCTCAACCTGACCAAATTTAATCCTTATTTAATTATTTGTTATTAATTTGAAGTCAATTATGCATATTTTAAAAATGATGACGGGGCCTGTATCTTCATCACCCACAAAAAAAATTTAAAGTTAGAAAAAAAATGCGATCCTTTCTCTCTTGTTGGCTGTAAAACTGCATGATGCCGTATTCCAATCATTGCATCAGATTCATGCCTTGTTAAAAAAGCTTTTTGTTGGCTATTTGCTGATTGTTAGTTGTATATGTAGTTGCTTTGCATGATTTGCATAATTACGCCATGCTCTCGTTTGTCCCTTTCCAAACATCTGTACCCCTCCTCTCCCCCCTTCCTCTCTCCCCCCCCCCCCCCCCCCCCCCCCCCCCCTTCCCCCTTCAGACTCGGCAGCATTTTGGTAACTACTCCACTCAACCAGGCGGCCTGTCCAGCCGAAGCCACACAACCGATATCTTATACTGATTTGCATGTCGCCTTGTCCCATCATGCTTTGCTCTCTGGAATCAAAATGGCCGCCACCTGCTCAGAAGAAGAAAATAGAACGCATTTCGGCTGATGTTTAGTTATCGTCATCATGCCTTCCATGCTATTTGTAGTCAAAATAGAGTTGCTAATTTTCCTTATTTCTTTTTATATTTTTGGGGTTGTAATCTATGTGCGGTAAAAGGATTTGTATAAATAATCAGTCACTTTCTGCAGATTGCCACGTGCATCAGCGATTTGGGATTCAAATTTCCCTGACGCACATCTGCTGTGCCGTGTTTCGAAGAAATTTTGAGGAACATGCGCACATGTTTGGAACATTTTTCACACTGCGCGTACATGCATGGCGTTGGATACTCAATTGTAATTTGCCTACCAAGATGGCTGTCTATGAGAGGGGTCTATTTGACATTATCATGCTGCCACCATTTCAGTCATGTTCCCTGTATCCACTAACAGTACTGAATGACATTTTTTTTTTTGCAAAAAGGAACCAGACTATTTTTCCTTCCAGCCTCACTTTGGTTACGTTGATTTGAATGGAAAAAAATCAAGATGGCCGCAACATGATAATGGTCTATTGGCAGACTATAATGTAGCATTCATTGATATTGTTAATTGAGGGCGCTTCAAGCAAATCTGTCGTCAGTTTAGAAAGCTATAAAATTGCTAAATAATGAAAGGTTTGCGGAAACACCATGTGCGAATAATTTCTCAACTAAGAGAATGGTTCTGAAAAGAACCAGAGGTATAAACTCGACGTTCCGGTCAGTATGCTCTACTGTCTTCAGGAGACGTCTTCGGAACGTTGAGTTTATACCTCTGGTTCTTTTCAGAACCATTCTCTTAGTTGAGAAATTATTCGCACATGGTGTTTCCGCAAACCTTTCATTATTTAGTATCTCCACCATGCAAAGCCTCAAATCTTACTTATAAAATTGCTAGTATTCACGCTTGTGTTTTCCTTGCTACCAGTTACTGTCCTCATAACCTGTGATTGTGAGTAGATGAATGTATTCTTGTGCATTTCCTTCTGAGGGAAAAGTACACTGTGCTAAAAAATTGCACGATTGAAATATGCAAAATGAAACCGCTAATGTCCACCACGATGTGAAATATTTTTTTTACGGCTCATTAACAAATTTGCCAAAATGTCACTGTTTGAATTGATGCATTTTAAAAGTAATACCCACCATTTTTTTTATTCAAACCTGCAAGAATTCATTGGCATTGCAGCCAGTAAACTTGTATTCAAAGTCACCAAAATGATGGTAGTTATTTTAAAAAGAAACATGCCATCACTTTTATAATTTCCAGGTTGACGACCCCCCCCCCCCCCCATCCGAAATACTTGTAAATATCATTGTTATCGTAGTACTGCAAAGATGTTAAAGAGATCTGGGGAATCCTGTATATATTTAGTACTGCATTGAGGAAAACACTGCAGCCTAAAAATAAAATTGGTGTATAAACACAATTTAGTCAGTACCAATGATTATTTTACTGTAATGAGCTTAATGTGAATTATTTTAATAAATGTTTCTCACTTTTTCCTTCAGCAAGGATTAGTTTTAAAACTTGCTAATCCTTTTTTTCTTCATTACAGTTGTTTTGATATTTATAAATAATTTTAAACATTGGTGAAGTATATGCGCTTTGAATGTATTGTCATTAAGAAGGGTCATGAAAGTGAAGGTCATATGCATGTTAAACAGATGTAAATATTCAAATCATACAGGTCATGTGATCTCATATATATTCATATAAATCATAGATATTCATGAACCTGTAGCTTATTAGTATTCAAGTATTATACATAACATTTCCCTGTTCAGATGTTATTTTTTATGTTCATATAATCTTAATATATTCTGAATTGTGTTTTCTGATTGCGACTCTTGTAGCACTGAGGTGATAAGTTGATATTTGACTAATGTTAGTTGTTTTTTGTAGCCACTTGTCGATCCGATGTATATTTCTTACAGGATTATACCTTTGTATTCCTCCATCCACATATCAGATTTTTAATTTTTCCAAAAGTAAATTGATCGATTTGTAGACAACGTTGATTTCAGAGATTCCTTGCCTGTAGTTTGGGGCTTCGGTTTTGTTGCCAAGAAAAAGTGATGTGCGTGTTTTCAAAATCGAAGGATGGAGAGCAGAGATTTCAACCATTCATGGCTTGGTGAGAAAAGCAGCTTGTTGAGGGACCACTCATTTGCATAAGTGCCTACTAATTATATGTAAATATTCATAAGCTATATGTAAATCGAGGTTCAGAATGTATTATGTATCTTTTAGTTTTAACATTGCACTTTTTCTTCTGAAACTTTTAAAGTCCAAGAATATTGGGATTAAGAAAAAAATTAAGAAAGTACATATATAAAACTATGATCATGTCAAAAATTTGATGAAAGAACCATTACTGTATCTATCACATGTTAACGTCAGCTTATAAGAATTTAAAATACAAGGTGCCAGCAGTAACTAAAATGAAATTATGTATGCCCTTATATTAGGAGAAACATCTATTATGATCTTCATTAAATGTCATTCTTTAGAAGTGTATGTCTGGTGTAGAGATATCTAATATTTATATCTTAAATGTCTGGTGATTATTCAGTTTCTTGTTGATTATAATTGTGATCGCACTGTACTAATCTATGCATTTTTATTTTCTAAAAAAGATAATAGTTTTAAAGAAATCATGTACTATTTGTGTATAAAGTGGAAAATCATGGTAAAATTGTTATTTTTGTATTAATCTTTTACACCAGCATAACACACTGCGAGAGGGTGTCATCTTTAGGGTCTAAGGTTCAAGTCTAACCTGGTAATAAAGTAATGATTAAAAATTTATTTCTCTGGCCAAATCACAGTGTTGTAACTACATACATGTATGTATGATGTAATCTTACAGCATTACTTTGAAAGTTACTGTTCCAACAATAACCATTCCAGGTAGATAAATAATCCACTGAACCATTTTAGTCGGTACAAAAATTGAAATGTAATTTCAAGATTTTCGAAATCGTCATTGCCAAACATTCCTGTTGCTCAAAGCTTGTAATTGTGTGGAATAATTGCATAAACAGCGTTTCTAAATTCTGTTAGAAAAACCTTTATAATGAAAGAAATTTACAGAAAAAAATAGCAATACAATGTTTCTGTGGTGAGGCTGTGCTGCGAACAAGTCATCCTTGATGTATATTCATGTAGAATAGTTTGCATATAATTACCCTTTGACCTCGTATTCTTGATAGTAAGTACTATATATAGAAGGGGAATGTTTTAAAATGGTGTCAAAGTCTTTTATTCTCGTCTGTATAATAACTGACCTATTTTTGTAATCAATGTGTATTAAAAATTTTTTTAGATGATTATTCAATCGCTGATGTAACGGAATGTATTCCAGATGTCATTAAAGGAGATATAGTGTTTATAAACAAAAAATTGTGTTGCTCTAAATTATTTTAATTGTAAGATAAATGTCGGTCCAAAATTTGTCTTTCTGAGTAGTTTCAAATTGTAAGGAGTTAAACTTGCATTTTCATAAAAATTTAGCAAAATTTGACTTTTTTTGGAAATTTAAAATTGTAAGGTGTTAACCTTGCATTTTCATCAAAATTGGGCAAAATTTGATTTTTCTGGGAAATTTAAAATTGTAAGGGGTTAACCTTGCATTTTCATCAAAATTGGGCAAAATTTGACTTTTCTGGGAAATTTAAAATGTAAGGGGGTTAACCTTGCATTTTCATCAAAATCAGGCAACATTTGACTTTTCTGGGAAATTTAAAATAGTAAGGGGTTAACCTTGCATTTTCATCAAAATCGGGCAAAATTTGACTTTTCTGGGAAATTTAAAATTGTAAGGGGTTAACCTTGCATTTTCATGAAAACTGGGCAACATTTGACTTTTCTAGGAAATTTAAAATTGTAAGGGGTTAACCTTGCATTTTCATGAAAATTGGGCAAAATTTGACTTTTCTGGGAAATTTAAAATTGTAAGGGGTTAACCTTGCATTTTCATCAAAATCGGGCAAAATTGGACTTTTCTGGGAAATTTAAAATTGTAAGGGGTTAACCTTGCATTTTCATCAAAATCGGGCAACATTTGACTTTTCTTGGAAATTTAAAATTGTAAGGGGTTAACCTTGCATTTTCATCAAAATCGGGCAAAATTGGACTTTTCTTGGAAATTTAAAATTGTAAGGGGTTAACCTTGCATTTTCATCAAAATCGGGCAAAATTTGATTTTTCTGGGAAATTTAAAATTGTAAGGGGTTAACCTTGCATTTTCATGAAAATTGGGCAAAATTTGACTTTTCTTGGAAATTAAAAATTGTAAGGGGTTAACCTTGCATTTTCATCGAAATTGGGCAAAATTAAATTTTTCTGGGAAATTTAAAATTGTAAGGGGTTAACCTTGCATTTTCATGAAAATTGGGCAAAATTGGATTTTTCTGGGAAATTTAAAATTGTAAGGGGGTTAACCTTGCATTTTCATGAAAATCAGGCAAAATTGGACTTTTCTGGGAAATTTAAAATTGTAAGGGGTTTACCTTGCATTTTCATCAAAATTGGGCAAAATTTGATTTTTCTGGGAAATTTAAAATTGAAAGGGGTTAACCTTGCATTTTCATGAAAATTGGGCAAAATTTGACTTTTCTTGGAAATTTAAAATTGTAAGGGGTTAACCTTGCATTTTCATCAAAATCGGGCAAAATTTGATTTTTCTGGGAAATTTAAAATTGTAAGGGGTTAACCTTGCATTTTCATGAAAATTGGGCAAAATTGGACTTTTCTGGGAAATTTAAAATTGTAAGGGGTTAACCTTGCATTTTCATGAAAATCGGGCAAAATTGGACTTTTCTGGGAAATTTAAAATTGTAAGGGGTTAACCTTGCATTTTCATCAAAATCGGGCAAAATTGGACTTTTCTGGGAAATTTAAAATTGTAAGGGGTTTACCTTGCATTTTCATCAAAATTGGGCAAAATTTGATTTTTCTGGGAAATTTAAAATTGAAAGGGGTTAACCTTGCATTTTCATGAAAATTGGGCAAAATTGGACTTTTCTTGGAAATTTAAAATTGTAAGGGGTTAACCTTGCATTTTCATCAAAATCGGGCAATATTTGATTTTTCTGGGAAATTTAAAATTGTAAGGGGTTAACCTTGCATTTTCATCAAAATTGGGCAAAATTCGTCTTTTCTGGGAAAAAATAATTGCAAGGGGTTAACCTTGCATTTTCATGAAAATTTGACATAATTGGACTTTTCTGGGAAATTTGAAATGTAAGGGGTTAACCTTGCATTTCCATCAAATTGGGCAAAATTGGACTTTTCTGGGGAAAATTATATTGTAAGCAGTTAACCTTGCATTTTCATCAAAATTGGGCAAAATTGGACTTTTCTGAGTAGTTTCAAATTGTAAGGGGATAACCTTGCATTTTCATCAAAATCTGGCAAAATTTGACTTTTCTGAGTAGTTTCAAATTGTAAGGGGTTGACCTTGCATTTTCATCAAATTGGGCAAAATTTGTCTTTTCTGGGTAATTTAAAATTGTAAGGGGTAAACCTTGCATTTTCATCAAAATCGGGCAAAATTTGATTTTTCTGGGGATTTAAAATTGTAATGGGTTAACCTTGCATTTTCATCAAAATCGGGCAAAATTTGACTTTTCTGAGTAGTTTCAAATTGTAAGGGGTTAACCTTGCATTTTCATCAAAATCGGGAAATTTTTTAGTTTTGTGGGAAATTTAAAATTGTAAGGGGTTAACCTTGCATCTTCATCAAAATTGGGCAAAATTTGACTTTTCTTGGAAATTTAAAATGGCAAGGGGTTAACCTTGCATTTTCATCAAAATTGGGCAACATTTGACTTTTCTTGGTAATTTAAAATTGTAAGGGGTTAACCTTGCATTTTGATCAAAATTGGTCTTTTCTGGGAAAATTCATATTGTAAGGGATTAACCTTGCATTTCCATCAAATTGGGCAAAATTGGACTTTTTTGGGGAAAATTAAATTGTAAGCGGTTAACCTTGCATTTTCATCAAAATTGGGCAAAATTTGACTTTTCTTGGAAATGTAAAATTGTAAGGGGTTAACCGTGCATTTTCATCAAAATTGGGCAAAATTTCTCTTTTCTGGATAGTTTCAAATTGTAAGGGGTTAACCTTGCATTTTCATCAAAATCGGGCAAAATTTGACTTTTCTGGATAGCTTCAAATTGTAAGGGGTTGACTTTGCATTTTCATCAAAATTAAGCAAAATTTGACTTTTCTGGGAAATTTAAAATTGTAAGGGCATTTTCATCAAAATTGGGCAAAATTGGTCTTTTCTTGATAGTTTCAAATTGTAAGGGGTTAACCTTGCACTTTCATCACAATTTGACATTTCTTGGAAATTTCAAATTTTAGTGCTTTCTTATCACCAATGTACATTTTTTAAAAATGTGTATTTTTGTCAACCACACTTAAATTGTTAATGCCAGTGTCATGCACTGATAATTTCACTGTGATAAATGCCTAGAAAATAAAGGTACATGTACATACCATTTTTATGCAAAAGTCACTCCACATACATGCACGTAAAATTGAGACCATTAAAAATTCAGACTAAATTGTGCATTTATTCAGTATTTACATTTTACAGACTTAAAAAAAAAAGAGCATTTAAAAATTGCTGCTTTAATATTACAATTAAATACATGCTAAAACATTTGATCAACGATTGAGAAAAACCCCACAAAAATTGTGTCAACTGTAACAAACAGATTGTTCCTACTCAATTGTTTAATTTCCTTTGCACGCAAGCGAAGTATAAATTTGGAAAAAGATCTGTAGACGTCTTAATGCACACATAAGTATCAGCATGTCTATGCACCAATCCGGGTTTTGAAATTAGGGTTTTGTTAGACTAAGCAGTTACTGGGAGCATCACCAAGGGCGGTTCCAGGATACAATTTGGGGGAGGGGGGGGGCCAAAAATGTTGGTCCCCCAAATAGTGGGTCCAAAAATTTACGGCATCGAAGCGGGCCCCGGAAACTTTTTTGATTCTAGATGCTCTGTGGTGCAATCTGAAGCAATTTCTGACCACTTTAACCAAATTTTTTGCTTTAGAAAAGATGGCAGTGTACACAGATGCTGCCTTTTTTGCAATGTCACTTATAAAAAAATTGCATTCGTTTTTTTTTTTGGGGGGGGGGCCCAAGGCCCCCTTTGCCACCCCCCTCCCACGGATCCGTCGTTAACCATCACATGTGCATTTAGTATAGCTCAGATCGCTTCACTAAAGGGGAATGCATTGTGTGAAATACTGAAGCAAACTTTAGGGTGACCCAGTGATGGTGGAAAGCAATCACTGTTTTCACTAAAGAAATCCCAAAAGTAATCCTTCCTGGCTATATTCTGTTAAATCTTTACTCATCGTTGAAATCAAACGGAGCGAATTTCTTGCGGAATTCCTGAGCTAACCTTGCCTCTTCCTCCTTCTCCATGGAGCAAGCCTTCCAGTTGGCTCTGTCTGGCATGTCAAGGAGGTCTTCACTGGCCATGACCTCCCTGGAGAAACAAGGAGAAGGATAAGGTCATCTTATTTATTGACAAGGTTTAATAAGGCGCATATCTGAGTCAATGAGATTGCTGAAACTGCAATTGTTTGACGCAAAACATTGGCGTTAGTTTATATGTGGCTATAATTTAAAAATTACATTTTTTTTGCAATTTCTAAGTCTTAGACTTACAGGTAATATACAACATTTGCTTTTGTTGTAATTTTCAGACATAGATGGATTTGGGGTGAGCATTTTATAGCAAATATTGTTACACCAACCTGTTTTAAAGTTTTGTGTTTAAAGATGCTGGAAAAACCAAGAAAAACATGATGTTCTCGTAGTCTGGTTCCCTGACCTTACTTCAGACAAAACGGAGCAATTTATAGATGTCAGGGAATTGTCAGGTCAGGGAACCAGACTAGCTGGCTTGCACTCATTCACGGGTGTGTAACGGATTGCAAACAAAATATTGACTAACTAAATTTGGTAAATTGGGGGCAGTCTTTGACAAAAAGTCAGGTTTTTTTCGAAAGATGGTCGGCTGACCATCGCTGGAAATTGATACGAAATTCCACTTTTCTTAGAAAAGACAGCACACCAGGTACGATGATTTCACAGGATGCTTGAGACTATTATTCACTTAAAGTCAAGTAAGGTATTTCTTAATAATTTAATAGTTTTGTTGTTTAATGTTTGCAAATTTTGTAAAAATATTACCTTTACGTTCAGCTGTTCAATTGCTCAAGAAAATACAATATTTTTGTTTGAGTTCCAGTGTTTTGTCTTGCTCAAAAGGAGTTGCAGAATGACTTGAGTTCTTACCTGCCAAACTGAAGAGGAAAGAAGTTCCTCTTGATCTGATGCAGGAGTTTGACTCCGCCGTCCAACTCAACGTAGAAGTAAGGATTGCCGACTGATACAACCTGAAAGACAGGACAGACAGATGTTACTTAAAATAAATGGACTAAAATGATTCAGATCTCCATAAACACTACTGACGATGACTAGAGCAGGCTAGTCAAAACGTTGAGACCAAAGACAAGTTCTTTTAGAACTAAGCAGGACTATTCTTATCAGAACTAAAACTACTTAGCAATAGTTGATAATAAGCAGGACAAGTTCTTATCAGAACCAAATATCTACTGAACGACAGCAGTTATTACCACATGGTGTTACTGCAAACCGAAACGATACTGATACTCCACTATGCAAAGCCTCAAATCTATTCTTAGAAATATGTTAATTCTATGAAATAAATCGGATTTCTTTAGCATATCAAACTTTTCTATTTTCCATTTTTAGTTGTTATAGTGTACTTGTACAGTTTCCACTTTTGAAGCTGCGTCTTACAATTTGTTCCAATAAACGTGAATAAATTAATTGATTTAACTAATTAATACGCAGAATCAGTTGATTCAGAATAGCCTACCTGTTTGAGATCAGTGTGTTTGGGAATCTCAAACAATTCCAACTTTTGTTCCTCCGCTCTGGAAGTGAAGACTTCCTTGATGTCATCACAGACGGTTCTGTTGATTGGTATGACCTGCAACAAGGCGAGAGGTAAGCAGTCGTAATGGCCTTTGTGAATGAACATGGAGGGCGCTATTCGCTCTACTATTTGGGTCACGCAAACATTGTATGAAGGAGCGCGATTAATTTTCAGCTGAATGAGCACAAATCCGTGCAGCCTTGCTTTTCCGTGTTAAGTGATATTAGGTTTTAAAAATGTTGGGTGAATCTGGTATTAATTTGAGTTGTTATTGTTAATGTTTTTTTCTCAAATGAAACTACTTCTCAATTTAAGGCGGTCAAATAGTTCCAGCAAAGGATGTCATAGTTCATACGATAAATCTGTGATGAATTTTTACTTGTAGTTGAAGATGCTGTGTTCTGAAATTCCTCTCGAAGATGACGCAGGTCTTTCCAATAGACTTGAAGTACCTCCGGAGGGCGCTCTTGTACTGCTCCAGTTCCTCAATAACATCCTAAGAAATGGACAGAAACACAATCAAGTTCATGGAGTGCTAATCATGCCAATTTGCTAAGCACAAAAACCAGGTTACCAGCCAGATAGCCATGTAATGTACATTGTCCATGACTGGTTCCCAATTTTTTTTGCTCTGCACAAAAATTGACTAAGCAATATTTTTTTGCTTAGGTGCTCCATAAACAACTGGGCCAATTTCATGGAGTGGAGAAGCACACAAAATTGTTTAGCCCAAAAAATGTTGCTTGACACAAAATTTACAATCCACAGGGAATACAAATTTTTACTACACCTCATAAATATTCATGATCAAATTGGAGCACGTCATTAATACTCACTTCGGGCAAATCAACAATAGACTGGTAGTGACCAATAGGAAGAACGAGGACATGGTCCGGAATCAGACCTCCCTTTGCCAATGCCATGTACGTCTGTAAAATAGAGAAAATCTGACTTACTGAAAGCAAATAGTATTTGTTAATTGTGATAAAAATATCAGCAAATTTAGAACTCCATATCAAATCATAACACTTATGAAAAATGTTTGGTAACAAAATAAAATGTGGTAACTACCCAAACAAAATTGGGAATTCTTAATTTTTTCAATATCAGTAACGTTTCGTGATCTCTGACATAAAAATGAAAACGATATGAAATAAAAGACCACTTTTTACCGATGTTCCGACGCTGACTACAAGATGTTTCTCAACCTCAGGGCTTCCCAAACAGAACCAGCATGGACCTGTCGGCTCTGTAACATTCAATGATTGGACAATTCATCAACAAAAATGTAGTGTCATGGCCTAGTGGTTAAGAGCACTGCACCGGACTCATGCCCTGGTGTTTCAGAGGCAATAGTAGCGTGGGTTCAAGCTCAGGTCTGAACACTTGTGTCCTTAAGCAAGGCACTTAACTATTATTGCTTTGTACTTCGGATGGCATGTAAAGTCAAAGGTCCAGTGAGTTGTGTAATGCACGTAAAAGAACCCAGTAAAATAACACTTATTGCTAAGAGAAGGGTTTGCCCTTTTTGGCCTTCTGTTAAAACTTCCACGCGGAGTATTTAGGAGAAGAACCAACCAAGTACAGAGTTACCCTTTTTTTTTTAAATGAGATGAAATATGCGTTGGGGAGATGTACATATCTATATTAGTTTTGCCCTTCACCGATGTTTTTGGATAAACACTGTATACTCAGTGTTGTCTGAGGGCTTGCAAGAAACCATTCACAAACTGCTCGAGTGGGACTCGAACCCACGACCTCCTGCTTACTAGTGCAGACGTCTTACCCACTCGACCACCAAGCTTCCTGGCTGGCCTGATTGAGTCTGATGCAGCAGTGGGTACTACAACTAAACCAAAAAAATAAATCCAAAACCATAAAGGGCTATTCTTTAATTGAAACATTATGATTTCATTTTCTCATACGTGGTCTTTTTTTCCTGTCCGGTCCGCCGTGGTGTTGACCTCGTGACCTCTTCTGACCTCTGCCCCTTCCTCCTGAATTCTGGCTGAAGAAGTACTGATTAGACATGTCTGCCTGAGAAAAGCAATGAACAGTCAAAGAAAAGAAACATTCAAAACTTATCTGGTAAAGCTGAGGCAAGGTACTATGCAAACCAGTGTTGAACTGTACGTGGTTAAACTAATTTGATTGGATGAAGAACTGGTCAACAAAATGGCCACATGAGTTATTCATAAGATGGAATTTGCGTCGGGGTGATGTCAATTCAATATCGGTTTTTACCCTTTATCAACACATTTTTATAAACACTGTATACTTGGTGTTGCCACATCTTATGAATAGTTTCACTGTGGTACCCGCTGCTGTATCAGATTTGAACCAGCCAGCCGACCCTGGCAAGCTCGGTGGTCGAGTGGTAAGACGTCTGTGCTAGAAAGCAGAGGTCGTGGGTTCGAGTCCCACCCGAGTGAGTTTTCTCACAATCACTCGGAGGCAACACTGAGTATACAGTGTTTATAAAATACGTCAGTGAAGGGTCAAACCTAATATTGAACCACATAAGTCGTTTGTGAAATTGTTCATAATTGTTTTAGTTTGAGAACCAACATTTTCTAAGTATGTCCCTAATTCCGACTAATGTCGTTGAGCTGGATTGTAGATAAGGCCAAAAAAAAAAAAATCTGCTTCTGATTACATGGCATTAAAAATAGGGTAGGTAGGTCGGGATTTTTTTTGGGGGGGGGCATCTTTTTTGTGAACGATCATATGGAGGCGTCTGCGTGTAGTCAAGGGTAAAAGGTAGTAATTGATGGTTTTGGGTGTTTTTTTTCTCATTTTCCCCACAAAAAAATAGGGTATGGGCTGTCAGATTAGGGTAGGAAGGGAAACCGGAAGAAAAAATATTTTCTGCCTAATCTCTATGTGAAATCAGAACGACATTCCACGTAGGGTTTTTTCTGAGTAAACGTTCATTGTAAATGGCTTCAAATAATTATCTACTGGAATCTAAACCTTGTAACACTCGTAGCGTTATTGTTTACCTCTGGTTTCTGCTCTAGTCTGGTTCCGGACCAGCTATATGGACACTCGGTCACATCCTGTGGTTGCTTGACCAACTCCTCCTTCTCCATGGACTTCATTGGGACGATGTTGAAGGCGTACAAGTACTGACAACAGAATAATGGATAAGAAAGACTAAATATCAAATGCATTTCAGTATGCCAGTCTTAGTTGCCAAACTCTTCTTACAAAAAAAAAATCATGCATTTTAAAAAAAAATTCTCAGTCAAATACCTCCAGCAATTTTTCTGATTAAAATGTACTGTCAAGACGTACCTTTTTCTTTTCTGGATTTCCGACTTTTGCGAGCCCCAAGAATCGCGTGACATGCTTTGTAGACTCATTCAGTACTTTGTGGTTGCGGTACGGGAGCCGTTCATAGAAAGCGCCCTCTTGAGCTGCAAAGTGGTAACGCGGTCGCACAGCGAGAGCCAAATCTGCAATTAGACTGGAGCCGGTTGTTTCTGGGTTGAGGCCCTCCTACAAGTACAAACGACACAATTACAATGATTGTCAAAAACAGGCCACTGGACACACTTGTATCTTGCTGCACTGATGCCCAAATGTGGTAGTATTACCATGCAAACCTTTAACAACCTTAGCAGCAAATACCGAGATTTGAAGTTTGGCATTGGGTTTCTTTAACGGATACCCTGGTACCCTTGTTTTTTCAATCAGGTACCAGATTCCCGTACTCCCCATAAATGCACACTTCTACTTAGGAATGCACATCTTTGTAGCATTCAGAAAGGAACGAATGATCAAAGTTTTGAGATGCCTCCTAAAAATGTTTCTGACAATTATGACTTTATGGAGCAATTGAACCACTGCAACACAAACCTATCAACTAAATCCAATCATTACCAGCAATACAACAACCAAACGCAACTCACCAGTGTGTTTGAATACTTGAACACCCCCTGGGGCCATGGTGAAGTCAGGAGTACGTCCAAACCCTTGAACTTAGAGTCTGCGATAAGAGGTACGGCCAGCGCATCGATGTCGGCCTTGCTGAAGTTGTTTGGTTCCTGGACTGCCGCATGCGTCTGCTCTGTACCGCTCAGGTAGCCAATCTGTAATCCGGACGCACCACTGAAAATGCCCTTTTTGCCTGAAATAAATAAAGGGTTCAAAGGAACTCTGAATGTGCTTTATTTATGTTTTTGTTTTATTTCTTTCTGGTAATGGAACCAGGGATTCCCCAAAAGCGCCCTAGGCACTGTAGCTCACAAGCCTGAAGAAACCTGTGGAGAGGAGACAACAGAGAAGAAATTACAGTTTTAGAGGTGGGAGGAAAACCCCAGAACCAGGTAGGGACTGAAAACCCAATCCACTTGTGGTCCGGGCAGGAATCGAACCGGCAAAATGTCACCGTGCCAACCTGACTCCCCAATCTGTGTTTTGCTGGGAAAATAGTGCTAGTTTCCACTAGTAGCATTAATTGCTTCTAAAAATAGAGTAAATGACCCAAATTTAAAACCCACCAATAAAATTTAATTTTCAACCAAATTTTAAGTTCTTCACCGCCTGACCCATCTTTGGAAGAGAAGTATTTCACACATGCATGGTACTATTTTTTACAATTTATTAAAAACCTGTGGCATTTACATCTCTGCTTACCTAAGTAAGTGATGTTTTCACAGAGTTCACACCCATTGACATCTTTAATATACTTCATGTTCTCTGGTCTGTTGGGGCCAAGGATGTACGTCGGGATTGGTGCTATCAGAAAAGACAAAATACATTATGAGATTCAATTATTGTATCAAAAAAAAATTCACAATTTAAAACTATGTCTAGGTAATTGCAGCATTATGGAAGAAAATGTAATGTCTGTGACAAAGCCAATGAACCATGATATCTAATGAATGATTCGGAGAAATGATCCAAAACTAGTCTGTAATCTCCTTGACCAATTCTAGATGATGGATGCATAAGATTAGAAAAATTATCCACTGAGCTCTAGAAGTACAAAACAATTGTCAGGCACCACCACATGGTCCATTTCTTTTCTAATGAACAGACTCACCTTTTTCCTCTCCATTCTCATACTTTCTCCACTCTTCTTCCTCTGCACCGAAAAACTCTCCAACACAAAGCAGCATCTGTATTAAATAAAAAGGCACTTTTTAGTTTAATTACAGTCATTTGCAGCCCTAGAACGAGGGTTTTTTTTAGCACAATTGTAATCCACCATCGCAGTTGAATTGAAGCATGGTAATACAATACAAGGCAATGGATATTTGGTCAGCGCCGGTTTTCTTATATTACCTTTTATCATGGAGGATTTCTCTGATTGGCTTTTAGTAAATGTTAGTTTTCCAGAGGTTGTCTTGACAAACTAGCATTTACTAAAACACAGCCGGCATGGCCAACATGTCATAATTACATATGAGGCAATCGCAAAAATTGTCTATGAAAATGTCATCTACTATTACGGAATCTGACACGTCCAAATATTCACTGTCTTTATTTAAATTAACATTTAAACAAGAGTAAATCCAGTGCATAAAAATTACAAGTCTTAAGACTAGCAAATGAAGTCTTGGAAAAAAAATGTTGCAACCTGACGCCACTTCTGCGATTGTATACAAAGTCTATGGAGAATCGAGCAAATCTTTTAAGTATTTCCTAATAAAAATTGGAAATGTTTCTCAGTCCCAGATTCATGTCTTATCATCATCATTTTTGCAATGAATGACCTTCATTGAGATGATATATGAAGAAAAAAGTGGCGTCAGGTTGCAACATTTTTTTCCGAAATCTCACCTCAAATGGGCCAGCCTTTCTGTTGACATTGTTGACTCTGGTGAATAGCTGACGGAATCTGCCCTCCACATCCCCACAGACAAGTCTGTCAAGAGATCATATCCACGTTTATTTGGTTAATTTATAGGAACACCTTAGTTCAGAAGAAACCATGCCAAAAATTGTTGGGGGAAAAGTGATGAAAATTTAGGTTCTGAATAACATGAAATTTAAGCTGGACAATTTCCATTCCCAGTCAGCGTTAGTCCGAGTAACAAGGACTCTACGGAATGCTTTTTTATCAGTTTATCATTTGGACATGTTTATCAGTTTATCATTTCCAAATGTTAAAAAAGCGATCCGTAGAGTCCTAGTTACTCGGACTAAGTCAGCGTGAAGTTTAGGACCCAGTTCCATGTAAGAGAACAAAAGGCACAAGTTTTATCGCTTGGAATCGTCTAAAAGTAAAACTATTAATAGGCCTTTTTTTATTGATAGTGGATATTTTGCCGGAGGTAATGACGGCAAACTAACGATTACTAAAGGTTTGCCGGTGGCAATCCATATCAACAGAGGGCGCTGTACTCTTTAAAATAGGGCTGAATTATAAGATGTATTAAATTCCCACCAAAAGTTGTGTAGCACGTTTGGTGTAATGGTTAAGCAAAGGCTCTAGTAAGCGGGATGACTCGCGTTTGATTCCGACCGCACCACATTTTTAAGGGTTTTTTTCTCATCCCCAAATAAATAAGAATATTCTTCTTTTATTATTTTAACATGTCTCAAACATTTTTTGCAGAGTATTACATTTTCTTTTTCAGATTTGTGGCTCTGGAGGATTTTTTTTAAAAGGGAAATAAAGTCCGAAATTATAAAATGGTCTGAATCCCATCTTGTGAATACGAGGTAACAACGATAATTTTGGCATGGAGCCAGACTAAAAGTTGTCACCGGAAAATGTTTAAGTACAAAAAAACAGTAACTGCGCATGTTCAGTGCATATCCGGCAAAAACGTTTACTAAAGGTTTGCCGTCTCCGGCAAAATATACACTGCCTTTTTTATTTCAATATGAGTAAACTAAGACTTTAAGAGTTTATTTCAAACACAAATTATAGGGGCCTACATGTTATATTACTGCAGTCTGGGAAAGAACGGATTATGTTCTCTTTCGGAATTCCAAAATTTCATGTTCAATTGATTAAAATTGGCTTATTTCAGCCGGCGTACGAGTTGGCCGGACCGGGCGTACGAGTTGGCATGGTTGGTCGGCGTACGAGTTGGCTGTTGCACAGCGCGTACGGTCACGGCGACAAACTCACATTTTCAATGGCTTTGAAGACATAATGTAGCGTTTTCTTGATCCTGGCACTCTGAAATTGGTGTGGAAATAACAAAAAAATACTAGGATATTCCTTCAACCGTAAAAAATTGCGACGAACTGGAGCGGGAATTTTACAAAATTGCTTTTTACATGGGCGCATCCATGTTGGAATACTGCATTGTGGGATGATGCATGCGCCGACTTGAGCTCTAAAGAGGGCGCCCCGTCAATTTTGTGATGTGTGCAGTGGATGGAAGCTGCATCGTCGTTTGTTTCCTAACTGTGATTGTTGTTAAAAGTCTTCTTTTTGAGAGATCTTGTCTCACATCACAGAAAATTTGTTCTTCGAATATTAAAGGGTAAGTTTGGTGTAATTCTGGTGTCGATAAGGACAGGATAAATTTAAGGGAAAGAATTCCATACTCGGCCTACTGGGACACCACTCGTCAGACCTCCTGCACTAAGTAAGTATACTCTATGGGCCATGACAGAAAAAGTATTTTAAGAATTTTTGCACTCCTTAGATCGTGTTTCTTCATCAGATTTACAACTTTTGGTACTTTTCAGGTGAGTGGTGGCCGGCCCAGTATGGAACTCTTTCCACATTTCCAATATTTAGTTAGCAGTTAGTTTTCTTGACTCCCCATAGACTTCGTACACAACCGCTGAAGTGGCGTCAGGTTGCAAAATTCATTTGAAATTAAATACTGAGATGTAGCGCAAGTGATAAACATTACACATGATGATGAATCTCGCTATAGTTTCTAAACCTTCTGTAAAAAAAAAATCAGTTTTGTGCAATAAATCCTGTAGGCCTATTGGCGGCCTGTCAGCCTGCACAGTAGCTGGTAACGATATTTACTGGTAAGTGTCTTGATCGTCATCTAAGGTAAAAAATTCTGCAGTAACCACAAAGAAGTCAACATAATGCTGTCATTGTTTTAACCAAATTTATAAGTTTATCCCCCTAGAACTCTAGGCCTGCGCACTTGCGGGGAGCCCCAGAGTTCTACATGTTCTAGAGGTAGGTTTAGGCGTAGGTAAAGCTTGCCATTGGACAAACAATCATTGCAAACTTCATGTACAAATTATTCAAAATTTTTATTTTTCTCCACAGCAGATAGCTTCATCGAGTGTTGGGATTCACCATGGCGACGGCATCGGAGATTGCTGCTGCCAAAAATGCACTCATCCAGTCGACGGCTGGTGCTGTGCCATTCATGAACGAAAAGGGTAGGTCAAAGGTCACAGGTCATATGTAAAATGTAGGGTCATCTTATTGTAGATACACAGTTTAATAAATACCTTGGTGTGGCCAGATTAATAATAAGAAAAGTTACAAAGTCAAACAATAATCCTGCAATCCATCTGTAATAGACACTGTGTTAAGACATCCCTGTTTATTCAGTGTTGGCAAAGTGTTGTGGTTGTTAAATTTATTATTATTTTTTTCATTTTTTTTTTCCATTTTTTTTAGGCGAGATGAGCATGCAGAAAGTGAAAGTCAAACGATATGTCACAGGAAAAAGGTACCAACTTCATTTTCATATTCATTGACGAAGCTTTATTTCCAGATATATTCATGAGTATTAACCCTAACCTCCCTGAATTCATCAAAATCCATACCCCTGTTTTGAGTATTTCGGTGGATTCATGATACCTTTATATTGAAAATGGGGATTTGGATGGATTCAGGATTGTAAGCCTAGCGGTACTGCAGGATTTTGATAGATTCAGCCAGGATACCTACATACTGAGCAGTTACCAACACCAAAATTGTTGTGCATGATGCAATAGGTGGATTTTGGCGGATTCAGGATACTTCCTAGAAAAAGTGCTTAAGGGGTTAGGGTTAATGATATCACACACCCAAAAAGTTCGTTTTCTTTAAGAAAGGAACATGAATAATAATTTTTTTTTTGGCCTCTTTCTCTTGTAGACCAGACTATGCTCCAGACAGCAGCAGTGATGAAGAAGAAACTTTGGAGGTTGCTTTTGTTCGCAAGTCCAAGACTACAGCTGGTGTGCCTTCGTCTAAGGAACCTGATGAGGAGGTCGACTCCAGACTGCGGCGGCTCAGGGAACGTGAGCAGGAGGTGGAGGGAGACGTGGTGGAGAGGTAGGTATCTTCCACAGGAGTCTTGGATATCATTCCATAGGGTGCAAGCAGGATTTTCTACCTCGAACATATCTTATGTGTCGCCTTTTGCAAGAAAATGAGCCTTGGTCCAACATTTTAATCCAGTTCTGAATGTTATTTGTAAATTTTGTTTTATTAGTATAACCTTGTTCAAGGCTGGCCTGTTGCAAGACATGACTAAGTAGTTCAACAAACTTTTGTTGAATAGAATCGGATATGAACCACAGACCTTGTACTGCTGTCTTGGTGCTTTAAGAGCTGTAACGTTGCTTTCTTCAAGATAGACAGGGGTGCTATTAAAACCTTAATGCCATGATTAGATGTTTTTACAGCTGGAGAATGTCTTTGAATTTATTTACAAATGTTTTTGTTCAGAATTGCCAGACACCGCCGCGTTCTAGGTCCTGAGGTCCTTGATGAGGGGGAACTGGAGCCAGAAGATGAGGATGATGCCGACGAAGAAAGTGATGACAGTGATCGTGACTACGCCTCCAGACGTCAGATGCACGTCGTGCATCGCATGGAAGCTGAGGAGAGCAGCTCAGACGAAGAGGAAGAATTAGACGAAGAGGAGATAGAGAGAAGACGAGCGATGATGAGGGAAAGAGCGCAGGGGCGGGGAGGACCTAAGGAGGACGAGGAGTTGTTAGGAGTTGAAGACGATGAGGATGTTGCTGAGAAGGAGGCAGTGGGGGATGAGGATGAAGAAGAAGATTCAGAGTATGAGGAGTACACAGATTCTGAGGAGGAGTCGGGACCGAGGTTGAAACCAGTCTTTGTTGCCAGGTAAGTAGTAGACTCAGAAGTTGAAGAACACCAGTGGTCTTTTTTTAGTGAGGTTGGCACTTGTAGGTGAGTCCATCTTAAAACTGTCAACAGTCTGGTTAAAAGTAAATCCCAAGTCTTTTCACAAGTCCACATTGGAAGTAACAGGTGATGGTAATGAAGGAATTCTTTTGTCACAGTTCAATTAAATAGCTTGTGACTTGAGTTAAGACTAGAGGACTTGTGATGGACGCCAATGAAACACTGCGTACGAAAGCGATCTCTCTCTCTCTCTCTCTGTCTGTGATGAAGATTCATCTTTGATTATTCCGTTTTTTCGAACAGGAAAGACAGAGTGACCGTCCAGGAGAAGGAAATGGAGGTGCAGAAAGAACGAGAAATAGAAGAGATGAATAAACTGAAGATAGAAGAACGACGGAAGGAGACACTTAGAGTAAGTGACTTTATGTGTCTGTGTAAGTTGTGTATCATAAGTTTCTTTGTTCAACTTTAAAATTGCTATAATTCACCTTTGCGGTTTATTTGAAAAAAATGTATCACAAAGTGTGATGTGAATATAAAAGTTAAGTACCCTGAATCTGGCAAAATTCTGCATAAAGTTTTGGAGTCCTACGTTGATGTATTTGATGAACAGCTCAGCTGCGATAAAGTTACATGTGCCATGTTTTTCCCAAGTCACTTGACCAAACTTGTCCTCTGACCTCTGACCTTTTTGCAGTTAGTAGAGAAGACCAATCGGCAGGAGCTAGAGTTGCAGGCCGAGTCATCAGTCAAAGACGCCAACTTGGCCAGCGTGAACACGGACGATGAGAATGATGAGGAAGAGTACGAGACCTGGCAAATACGAGAGCTAAAACGCATTAAGAGAGACAGGGAACAACGCGAACAGTAAGTACCATGCAGTGGCTATTGTCCTTATTCATGACCCGTTGAGGGCGACATTCAACAACATTTTGGGATATTCCTCGGCTGACTAATGTAAATTGAGTTAAACAGATAAATGCGATGCGATCAAGCTAAATGAGTCGTTTGTCAACCCTGGTCAAATTTTTTTTTATTACAAATTTGAAAAGGGCACAATCTCAGCATTAGTTCTGTGAAAACCGCATGCTGATGCCACCTTTAGTTAAAAAATTAAGGAAGTCGAACACCAAGACATGTGATGAAGTGATGTGATGAAGTGGCCCTATTTTGGCCTGCATCTCCAAATAAAAATTCCCGACAAATGACTCATGTAGCTTGATCGCATCACAAATATGTTTGCCATCAAAAGAAATCCATGTGATTTAACACTGTTGTTTCTTGTGTGACTTCAGAATCCAGAAGGAGTTAGCGGAGGCGGAGCGTCTACGCAACATGACGGAGGAGGAACGTCGTAACGAGCTACGAGTCAATCCCAAGGTGGTCACCAACAAGGCTGTCAAAGGCCGCTACAAGTTCCTGCAGAGATACTATCACAGAGGTGTCTTCTTCATGGTAAGAACATCTTGAAAAAATGGATAGAATCCTTCCTTATGTTTCAAAATTGTATTAAGAAACTTCCAAAATTAAGGATATTTTGCTGTAGGTGTGTTCAGATGTTAAGAATAGATTTTGAAGTATGGTCTTCCAACAACGCGGTAATACACGTTTGTATTTAAAAGCATTTCAAAATCTTTGGTATCTTTCTCTTCACGCCCTAGATCCTTCCAAACCTACAAGGTGGTTTTGGAGGATTTTGTAAGATTTTGTGGGGTTGAGAAGGTAGAGCCCAGCCACCATTTCTTTACATGGGGCTTGATACCACTTGAAATTTCGTAGATACAAAGAGAGTGCCATTGGGTTCCTGCAAAGTGGAAGATTATGTAGGATTCAGGAAGTTAAAAGGGTTACTGTACATTTTAACCTCATAATGTGATTAGAACAAACATTCGATGAAGACATTTCTTTTGTTTTTGTTCCTTCACCCTCAGGATGAGGAGGATCAGATTATGCAGAGAGACGTTGCCAAGCCAACCCTGGAGGACCACTTTGATAAGACTGTCTTACCCAAAGTCATGCAGGTAAAGTGAAGATTTCATGCTTGTATTTTATTCTGGAAAAAAAATTCATACTAATTATAAGCCATCAGCTGTATTTTATTAAATTTGAACTGTCTACTCAAGTTCTTGCTGAGAACTTGTAAAAGTGCAAGAAAAGTGTCATTGGGTTAATGACGAGTACAGGATCTTGAATGATTGTATAATCTTCCTGGGAAGAATCGTTAGGGACTTCATGTAGGATTGATCCCAATTTTGTTTAATTTTGCTTTTATTTCTCTTCCTGTAGGTCAAGAATTTTGGCCGTTCCGGCCGGACCAAGTACACGCATCTTGTGGATCAAGACACGACGGAGGTCGATGCACCATGGATGCAGGATTCAGCGATCGGCCGTAAATTCCAGGCCAACGCCGCCGGCGGGATGAAACAGAGTTTTGAGAAGCCAACTTCGTCACGCAAGGCGGCTTCTACATAGTGCTTATTAGTCTTGTGCTATATGTTTGATTTACGTTTCATCTTCTTTTACGCTGTTCAGTTCATGATGTAAACTGTGCCTACCCAGTCAGTCACTATCTGTTTCTACTAATTATCTTCATCTTTAAGCTCAGATTCTATACCGATAAGCCTTCGTACCAACATTCATATGTTAAGGATTTCAGTCAAACTACCTTCAAAGTTTGTTGCTGTTCATAACCCTCCTGCTATCTGAAGTCACAGTCAATATATCAATCCTCTTCCCCTGCCATGCCTTTTCGTGTAAAAGGCACCAACAGTCAGATCATATTTCAAGCAAGCACTGTGACTAGTCAAACTCAGTCAACAGACAAAAGCAGGCAAGAAGTAGGCACAGCTGGCTTATCAATCACCTACAGTCAAAGCACAGCTGTATCAAGTTACATAAACAATCACAGCCAGTCAATCCTGCTTTACGTAGGCTGGGAGCTCTTAACTGTTGAAAACAGTCACTTGATAGATTTTGACTGAAAGGACAACTTGGCACAGAAGGTATAGGTCTTAGGAGGATTGCTGCCAAGCCCCTTGCAATGGCCTCATCCAACTATTCCAACCGTTCGTTGTTGACTAGCGGGACATGTCTTCAACAGGTGTAATTACATGTACCTGTATATAGTTAATTGAATTTTCTTTTGTGATTTGTTGACATTATGAAGACGCCTAAATGAGTCATTTGTTATCACACTGAATGATTTCATTTTGGAACCGTTTTTATTTGTTGTTAGTGCAGCCTCAATAATGTACTTTTCCCAAAATTCTAGAACAGGAATAAAGGAAAAATTGTAAATAGTACTTGCCTTTGTATGATTCATTATTGTTTTTCAGTCGTCTAAGGTGTAGTATATGTTTATGTGCTTGAAGACTGAAAACCCAATTGCCGTCCAATTGCCGAATGATTTTGTAGGAACACATACAGGAAAAATGTATACACGTATATATACATTTTTACTGAAACGTTGTTAATAAAATATAGCCATCAAATTTCTATCATTCTTCGGAAAAAAATATAACACTGCATCCAACAGCTGAATATCAGTTTCATAACTTTTATACATTAAAATAATTTTACTGTTATTATTATTACTTTGCATTAGTAATCAAATTAAGTTTAACTGCCGTAAAATTTCTGTTTACAACAGTTTCATTCAGAAAATTGAAAATACAGTTCTTCAATTTACTAAGGATTAAAACAACTTCAAATTGACAAGAGGCTAAAGGACCCCCCCCCCCAAAAAAATGCAAATATTTTTCAGACTTGTTTGTACATGTATAGGACCAAGAGAAACACATTACCCAATTTAAGTGACATAGATAGCACACTTTAATAAAACTCACCGAAATAAATCGTTAAAATAAAACTACATGTACAAGGTGTACATATTTGATTGTCACTTTGCATAATACAGTAAGTATAAATGAAACTCACAAGGACAAAGCTTACTTTTAAGAGCTCTTTGTTATGAATATATGAAATATTTGTTTCTAATGAATATATGAATATATTTGTTTCTAATATTTACAATTTGGAAATGCATTCAACACAATATAATGCTCATGATTCAAGCAACTTTATAGCTTGACAGGCCAGTCTAGAAAAAATATTCAAGGGTATGTACATGTAGTTTAATTCATTAAAATAATACATCTTCATAAATAATTACACATAAATACGAAAACACATCATGAAAAATCTTCGGCTTATTTTAAGACACGATTCCTTTCAACACACCTTGAACATATCTTGAAGAATAAGACTCCAAGCACTCAGCTTATCAGAGATATTATTCCATAAAACACGGCTGAAATACCCTGCTTTAGGTCTGGGAATTTTTTACATTGGCTCATCTAGCTCCCAGACCTATGTTGCTGAGACTCAATGGGGCAATTCCGTAAAAGCCAATTCTCGACATCCGTCCAACCACATATTGTACAAGGTCGTGAAGGTGGCGGTACCTTGGTTTGGTCTGTAGTTGTTTTCTACTCATTAGATGTCACATTATTAGTGATGTATCACATTCACTTTTCCAACAGCAGCTCATTAAAGTGTCTTGACATGTACGTCAGAATTTATGGGTTTGCTCAATGGTTCTTGAGTCTTGAATGCTGCATGGTAACACACAGCAACCGATGACAACGGATGTGCAAATAAATAGATGTTTTCATCGGATGACATAATCCCGTCCATGCCTGTATTATTTTTGACACAGCATGGTGTTTACTGTTGACCAAATATGGGCTCCGTGCGCCAACAAAAGAGGGCGCTTTTTACCTCTTTTGAGAACCCCTTAGACGGGACACCGCGTGTACGTACTGTACTGGTTTGCGCACGACTTGTTTGTCCTGAATGTGCACAAAGCTAAGCCATAACGTCTTCGCGCGTGAGCGTCGGCCGTCATCGGCACGCAAATACGTTTGAATTTAACTTGCAATGGTTTCCCAGACAAATCCCCGCCCCAGTAACTTTGATTCATTCGAAATACTCAGTGGATGGACCAGGAACCAGTCTAGGTCAGACCCCCAACTCTCCTGTAGCCACCATCTCTTTGTGTGGTTTCATATTAATGTAGAACCAACATGTTATATTCACAAACAAAAATTGTAAAAATTTACCTTATATGGCAGGAGTAGAAATTTCTATGCAAGAAAACAGATCATTAATTAAAGTTTGTGCAATAAGAGGCCGGAAATAATGAAGTGTGATCCGAAACCAAAGCTGAAACCTAGATTTGGTAAACCACCTCATGAATCCACCTTTTCAAGTACCAATACTGCGTCATCGTTAGTAATAGCTAGCTGTGTGTCGTCAATGCACACAACGCCTCGTGGCTTATGCAGACCCTGCATAACACACTGCTCAAAATCACCCCGGGAACTGTACTGGTGAACGTGGCCCAGCGTGTCATCGCTGGACGTCACCACGACAAAGATGTCATCTTTAGCATTGCAGCAGACCCCCAGACACCATGCTGGTTTGTCGTGGATACAGGGATGGATCGTCTGCATTACTGCGTCACCGTCACCCATGATGTCCACTCTGCAGCTGTTCCAGCTGCTGACCAATAGCTGACCTTTAGAATTGACCGCCATGAAGTGTGGGCATGCGTGGAGTTGTCTAGTACCCACCAAGGCACCGTCGGTTGGTAGATGCTCCGTGACGACGTTCGTCGCAGCGTCGCCGATGAAAATCTTGCTGTCAGGACCGATAGCAACGCTGACCAGACCGACTTGTTTCTTGTCCGGGTTGGTCGGGAACGTGAAGGCTACATCTCGCTTCTCCGTGAAGACTTTGACTTCACTTGTCTCATCGACCGCGACCAAGTAGTCATGAGGCAGAACAGCGACATCCCACACTAGTTTGTCAGAACAGAAATTGGTGACAAAAACTTTATTTTTTTAGGAAAAATATTACAGCTGTGAATGAGATTAAATTGTTCACATTAAAGGTTGAGCAGTACTATAAGGCCATGTAAAAAATAAACAAATCGTCTGCTTTTTTTATTTTGTTTTTATTTATGCATATGTATTTGTGGATTTTGTATAAATTAGTTTCTCTTGAATTGTGTTTATTTTAAATTTACTTTATCTTTTTATTGTAAATTACTGTGCATTCAGCTTTTGAGCTGCTAAATGTGATAATAAACCCAAATAAATACATAAATAAAATGATCATGGACTTGCCTCTCTCCAGGGGAATGACATCTTGGACAATGCTCTTCGTGTCGCAAACCACCACTCGGTCGTTGGCAAAGTCAGCAATGACTACTTCACCCGTCTTGTAAGCCGCAATGCCGCGTAGGAGATGACTTGCATCTACGCTGGTCCTCGTTCCCAAATCTAACGATGCTTTGAATTTCCAGGGCGAGTCACTGTCCATCTGAGAACCACTCTCTTCTTTGGTCAAGCTGCCAGCAAAGTCCATCCTTCCTGTTTGACTTCCATCACCTGTGCAATCAATTCAAATTATCGGACGTTAGTGTTGCTTAACAGATTTCAATCTGGTGGTCGAGTGGTAAGACGTCTGCACTAGAAAGCAGGAGGTCCTGGGTTCTAGTCCCACCCGAGTGATTTTTTTCCAACTTTCACTCGGGAGGTAACACACTAGGTACATGTATAGTGTTTACACGTTGGTGAAGGGCAAAACCTAATTTGATTTACATCACCCCGACGCAAAATTCCATCGCTTGAATAGATTTCAATTTGCATGAGCTGGAATCAACTGAGAAAATATTGGCCATTCCATAAATTTAAGTTCAAAGTGCAACAATTTTCCTGTCTCTGTTACCCTGGTAGTTTGTAATTTGCCATTCAAGTATCATTAAGAACGACTTTAAACAATTTTGTATTTGTTGTAGTAGTTTGCTATTCATAATCACTCCCTGTGAATTTAACCCAAGGTGGACATTAATCAATTAAAAAAGCACCTGTCTTTTTCTTTGATTGGTGTTTCTGCTTGTCTTGTCTGTCCTCAGCACCAACACTGGACTGAATTAGAAATTAAGAAAAAAGTAAATGAGTGACTACAGATGAGAAAAAACTGTTTCATAAAGACATTTTTCTCTGACCATCATGGCAATCAATAGGTGAGTAGAATCAATAGGGACATTTTTATTTTTGAGCTTGGGTGTAAGTATTGACTATGGCAAGCAAATTTCTTATATGAAATATTACGACTGGGGACAATGTTTTAGAGCCTAGTTTCCAAATCGACATTAAGCCTACGCAGACTGCGCGCAGACAGTACGCGGAACTGTCAGCAAACTTGAACCAGGTTCAACTTTGCTTATTGTCTGCCAGGTAGTTTGCGTCCGTCTGAGTTGTCGGCGACACTTCCGGATGAAATGTTTTCATATGGCTGCATTGCAGTCTGGGTGCTGTTTGCGGTTCATTTTGCGTTTCTTGCGTCGATATCAAAACAAACAAACAAAAATCTTGAAAATTTCAAGAAAATTTTCACAAGCTCACTTGAGGATTTTAAACCCTCAAACTCCCGCTTACGATATTTCTGAAAACTCACCTCATCAACCCGTCCATGATGTACCGACATATGAACCGACCTTCTCGACGAATCACAGTCGCTCTGATAAACATCAACATCACACAAGCACTCTCTGTTCCCTTCCATTTTTTTAGCCCTGCTGTGATTGGCTGGGTCGAAGGAGAGGTCAAAGGTCACACTATGCATCTGGTTTTCCCACAGAATTTCCTTTGTGATGCACTGTTTTTGAAGAAATAAAGCAGAGATCAATTGTGAAAATATTGTGAAAAATGAATGAAATTCCTGAGATAAAAATGAATTTCAGAAATGAAAACTTATGATGGAATTTTCTGAGCTATCCAGCCTTTCTGCAAATCTTCCCATAAAAAACTCGCTCAATTTCAAGAATTGAAGAGAACTGTCTACACAGGCAACCTCTTACCCTTGTGCTTGTTTCAACCTTGAACCCAGGGCTGATGTTCGTGAGCTGTAACATCAAATCACCACCGCGCCACGTGACTTCCAGGCAGCGCGCTTCATCCAAAGCAGCGAATGGAAGTGCTTCTTGGCTTCTGATGACACACTTCAAGGGGAGAAAACACAAAACACTTTGAACACTATATTTTGCGGGAACCAACAAAAATGCCCGAATGACTGCAATATCAATATTATTGCAGTCACCCAGGTACTTTTTACGAAAGCATTCAATACGCTATTATTTTTACCACTGGAAGCCTGATATAAATAATAATATGACATATTTACTGTAACATTTTCACACCTGTTTTGATATGTTGGTGTCATTCCAGATCAGAACACAGATCCGAAAAACGTCTTCAGTAGGACCTTTGATGGGAGAACAAACGTACATCTTCATTGTCTTGCTGCACCCCTCACTGGACGGTGTTCCAAATATGGCGTATCTTGAGAAGTGATCTAGCGCTAGGATGATCTGTTGTTGATTGATGATCAGGTTATTGTTCTCATCCGGGCTCAGGTTATTCCAGTCTCCCGAGTGAGTTTCCTCCGACTCAGAGTAAGACACGCCTGCCGTGATGTCCCAACCAGCACCGCCATTTGTTGCAAAATGTGGAAGGTGGAGCACGACGCTTTTTAGGAATGTCAAGCCGGAGGGACCACACTCAACGAGGGGGGAGAGTATGGCTCTGGAACGAAGACCAGACACTGATTGGACCATTGGATTCACATAGAGGTACACCTCTTGTACTTTACCTGACGGTATAGCACCTTGGGGGACGTACAAGAGAACGTCATACTCAGGGAGACCGAGCGTCCCGCCGTAGAAATCAAAATATCCTGCGACAAAGTCCACCAACCGGCAAGTGCTGCCGAGTCGTTCCATGCCGCGTAAGTGCGCGAAGCGTCGGTGGAACACTGCGCGTAGGGATTTTATGTGTTCCACACTGTTCAAGCGTTTGAGGCATCTGTGATGTTGGTCTGGTTCCTGGCCTTGGTCGGGATGCTCTTGTGTAGGTTGGCAATCATTTTCTGGATTTGATTCCGACAAGTCAGTCAGGGTAACTGACTGCAAAAAGCTACCACTCAGGTAGATATCTGAGGAATAAAAGAAAGAAAACATGTATCAGTCTGGTAACCAACCAAGTCAAACTTCAGTGCCTCGGTTAAATATAATGAAGTATACTGATTTCAACAATATTTTTCAGGAAAAGTTGAAGGACAACAAATTTGATGGAACTGCTAAAATACAGAAGTTTGCTATGCAGTAAAAGAACCTCTTAATAGCAAGAACAACTTCCAGCCCAAAAAATGTCAAACACTGTGTACTGCAGAGCTCTATGAAATCTGCCAAGGAATATGACAGAGGTGTTTTTCATATTCCAGTCAGGTTGGTGCAATGGTTCTTTCCTCGCCTTCCACCTCTATGGCCCGGGTTCGATTCCTGCCCTGGCCCACATGTGCACTGGGTTTTCAGTCCCTACCTGATTCTGTGGATTTACCCAGAATATTCTTCTGGAGTTTTCCTCCCAAGTCTAAAACTGTAACTTGCATTGTCTTCTCTCTGCAGGTTTCTTCAGGCTTGCAAGCTACAGTGCCAAAGCGCTTTTGAGGAATCCTTGGTTTCATTACCAGAAATCAATAAATAAAAACAAATAAATAGTTTACCTTGAAGTTCATCAGCCAGATCCTGACGACCACATTTAACCAACGCCGCTTGCAGCTTTAAGCAATTATCCTGCCTCCAGTCCGAGTTCTGTCGCCAGGAGACCAACATCTTAAAGATGCATTCCTCTGCTCGGTGATAGTCCTCTTGCAGCCTGTCGATAGTGGCACTCTTGAAGCCCAGATAAGTAGAGAGTTTCAACCACTCATGGCCGAGGTTGCTGGCTAGCTGTCTGAAGTATTGGTCCACCAGAATCCCACTGGCTACACCTGATGGAGTTAGAAAAAAACCAAATATTTTAACCAATATTCCAAAATGTAACACTGAGGATTTTGAAGGATTCGGTATTGGATGGCCAAGAGAATATTTCTTAAAGACAGTGGATATTTTGCCGCCACCGGCAAATTAGATCAGAATGCTATTTTGTTATCAATACTAATACTTAGTCAACTAGTAATACGTTACAGTGACGGTACATTTTATTTCATTTTATTTCATTTATGTTGTATTTAATCTATTTATTTATATATTTGTTTATTTATTTATTCATTTACTGATTTACTTACTTATTTATTTATTTATTTTTTTACTCTTATTGTAATTTTTAATTGTATTTTTAATTATATTTTGCATAACTGCTTAATTTTATAAATATTTTATTTAATGAATTTTATCCTAAATGTACTAATCACTGTTATCCAATTAGTTTGGAGAGCCCCTCGACAGAAACTTGTTTCTTTTGGGTAATCCTGCGGGAGCTTTTTGGGTGTTGTTTTCTGTTATGTTTTCTGTTATGTTTACTACTCAGTGTTATTTGTACATGTAATTGTTTTCTCTATGATTCACTGTTTGTAATATCCCGGAAAATGAAATAAATAAATAAAAAATAAATAGGCCTAAATAAACAAAAATGGCTGTCATGGAGCTACCACAGTAGGCAAGTGGATAGTGAGATTACCTATGGATCGAATAATCCCTGGTTCAAAATTCAAATCCACCAATACCCATTTTTCATCTGTTTTTCTTCTTCAAATTTATAGTTGGGATAGTTTAATTTCAGGGAAAAGAAGAGATCGAGAACCTAAGTGTCTTGCAGTGATTCCATCAAAACTACTGATGTGGGTTCTCAGAGCACATGACGTTGTAGGTAGGGTAATGCTGGTCACAGCAAACTATCCACTGTCTTTCCACTCTTTTCAATTCTCAAAGTTTACAACCGAAAACATTGTAAAGTTGTATCTGTACTTACTAGGTGCCGGTGGAGAAGTATCTTTGCTGTCCATGATTCACTGAGTCAACCAACATAGGCCTGGGTAGAAAAAATGGTGTCATTCCTGCATGATAATAAAACAAAGACAATTGATGTTGCTATATAACTCTTCATTTTGTGAATATTCTCAATCAATCTTCAGGTATTAAACATGTTGTTACAATAGTCTTGTACTTGCACAATAGCAGTTTAGTCCTACAACGTACGACCAACCAAAGTCTAACTCTAAATTCAAGAAAAGGAGTTAAGAAAAGAATGCTGCAATCTGTCACTGCAATTTTTAATAAAATATCATCACAATGAAGGTCAGTTATTGCAAAAACGATTAAGACATGAAAAGTAAGACTGGAAAAAAAATCCAATTTTGTTAAGAAATACTTAAAAACTTTCTTGACTCTCCATAGACTTTGTACACAACCGCTGAAATATGGCATCAGGCATGTCAGGTTGCAACATTCTTTCCGGAGTGCATTATAGCGCCCCAGAGTTAAATACTTATAATGCCGGCAAGCAATTAAATGCTGTCCTTGAGCTGTGCTAGTACAACTACAAAGTTCAAGTCCAACTTCTTGGAAAACCCAGATCCAATAGTTAACGTTTGGGGTTTTCCCGGCAGAAGTGTGAGTCATCATCATGGTCCGTGGTCCACCAATGACATCTAGGCCTACATCGTGGTCCATCCACATCCATGGAGAAATTTTAGGCCTACGTTTTCTCCATGGATTACATGTGATTTCTTCCAAATTCAATGGTAGATACAATGTAAAGGCCTACAGCAAGTCATAATGAAGTGTTGGCACTGTAGTCAATTTTTTTCCGGATTAAAAATAAAAACATTTTACCATTTATTCCTATCTCGATTTAGTTGCCTGCGAGTTGCGACGCCATCCCAAACAAACACCTGCAAACATGCAGCTAGCTAGCAAGCGAGGCTGTAGGCTTGATCATCGAACGTGCGTCATGCGCCGGTACCGGCGCATGACGTGCACAAGTACTAAAAGTACACCAATATGAGCTGCAAGTGCCCGGCGCCCTCTATCACCTCGGAAGGCCTACCGCTAATTATTTTTAGCACTCCCCTTTTTTTAGTAGACCTAATTCTTTGCATTAACAAGGGAAAAGATTGAATGTAAACTGAATGTAAATGATGTGGAATTACTGGGACAGTTACTAAGTCTTTGAGATCATTTCCCGGGCCCAAAACTCATAATTATAAGTAGAGATTCATTATCGTTCCAGCAGTTATAAGCCCCTCCCCCAGCATCTATCTTTCACATATCAACTGATGGCAAATATATAACCTTCAAACAATGACAGCATTCTGACCATTCACTGAATTTTTTTTATTGAACTCCTGGTCACCAGAAAGTAAAATCCAAAATTTAAAAAGGGTAACTCATTGAAAGAACTTCAGAGATGCATATTTTAGTTGATTTACGTCTTAATTTGGAAACACATTTACTTGAGACAGTACAATAAAAGATTTTAACACTGAAACCTGCAAGTCAGTGCGGGACCCAGCATTTATGGAGGGGGGGGGGGGGGGGGGGGGGTTGCCGGACCCAGCATTTAGGGGGGGGGGGGGTGTTCGTGGGGTGCTGAAAATGGAGGAAATACCCAAATTTATTTGCCCATGTGGGTGAATATTTCTGTCTTTGAAGTGATTACATAACCAGTGGACAGCAGAAAAAAAGAAAAAACACAAGAGGTACCTTCTAAAAAATGCTTTTAATTAATGTGAAAAATAGAGGGGGTGGGGGCTCTCCTCTGTATCCTCTACTGCAAGTAAAATCTTGCGTCAGATAAGAAATATGATAGACTGAGATAAGTTTATAACACAGCCATTACCTTAATATTATTTTACATTTATAACAAGTACATGTATTTCTAGACTACATACACTAAGGCCAAAAAAAAAAAATATTCGGTCTCTGGTCAGACCAAAGTTCCGGAATTGACGTGGCGATGCAGCTTTTTTTTTTTTTTCTTCAAGCTTCGATTGTACAGACAAGGTGGGGTACTATTTTGCTTTTTTGGTGTCCTCATGTACATTGGTGTCCTCCATAATTTGCCTTGTGCAATTTCCCATTCCTTGGTGCTCTTTGGTAAAAAAAATTGAGGAGGTGTGGCAATAGAGGGCGCTGTTGGAACTACCGCGGAACATTTTGGAAAAAAAAAAGATTGACGCGCATGATTAAAATCGACGCGCGCGCTGACCAGAGACCGACTTTTTTTTTTTTGGCCTAAGGCAAAAAAAAAAAAATATTCGGTCTCTGGTCAGACCAAAGTTCCGGAATTGACACGGCCACGCGGCTTTTTTTTTTTTTTTTTTTGCTTTTTTTTTTTTCTTCAAGCTTGGATTGTACAGACAAGGTGGGTACTATTTTGCTTTTTTGGTGTCCTCATGTACATTGGTGTCCTCCATAATTTGCCTTGGTGCTTTCGATCATTTGCCTTGGTGCAATTTCCCATTCCTTGGTGCTCTTTGGTAAAAAAAATTGAGGTGCGGAAATAGAGGGCGCTGTTGGAGCTACCGCGGAACATTTTGGAAAAAAAAAAAGATTGACGCGCATGATTAAAATCGACGCGCGCGCTGACCAGAGACCGACTTTTTGGTTTTTTTTGGCCTAACTGTGCTAAATAAATTTTTTTTTAAATTCAAACAAAAAATAATATGTGTTAAACATTTAAGTGTTGCATTTGACACTACTATCCTTATAAAGTATTGGCTCTTTGAAGGAACTGATCTTATTTTGAACTCTGTAGTATTAATAATTAAAAATGTTTCACAATTACATTTACAGTCGACTCTTGTTAATACAAACTCAGCCGGACCTAGCCAAAATGTTTGTTATATCAGAACTTTGTATTAAGAGGAGCGTCGGTCCCATTCATTGTGCACATAAAGCACAGTCAGGACCACGGGTTAATGTTTGTTATAACCAAACAGTCGGTGTTTGTATTAAGAGTGGACTGTACCTTGGAAATTCAGCAAATCAAATTTAGTATGTACAACTTACAAAAAGAATTAAAAGCCTAAGAAAAACACAGATAATTCATCAACTCATCACAGAATTCTGAATGAATAACATGAAAGTTATATAAATTTCAAAAGCAAAATTCCACAGAAACCAATTTAGGCATGCAACTGAGAATAACCAAAAAGAGGAAATTCTAAGCCCTATTAGAAGACATTATAGGTTACAAAATGAGGAAATCAACCGATCCTAAGAAATCAACAGATCCGAGGAAATCAACCGATCTGAGGAAAAGTTGCATGCCTGAAATGTGCTTAGCGGTATTTTCTGCCAAGAGGCTCCGTGACATCCGGCTCAGATTAGCTCAATCATCGTCTTCCTCTGCTTCATCTTCCTCCTCCATACCCTGAGGCTGCAGCAACACTGCCGGGGGTGGAGGAGGGGGTACAGGTAAGGGTAACCCACCGGGCATCGCATTGGGTGGAGGGGGGAAGTTGGGTGGCATAGGGGGTGGCTTCATACCCATCAGAGAGGGTAGCTGAGGCATACCGGGTGGGGGTACAGGAGGGGGCGGTATGTTTCCCCCGGGGGTTGAGAACATCGCTGGGGGTGGGGGTGGCGGAATGGGCGGCATGGGGGGTCGCTCTGAACCTGGAGGGCCTGGGGGTCCAGGGGGTCCCATCCCTGGGGGTGGCATTGGGGGTCCAGTGGGTGCTCCTTCAGATGTTGGGGGTTCTGGAGGACCACCCATAGGTGGTCCACCCATTGGAGGACCACCCATAGGTGGCCCACCCATAGGTGGCGGTGGTCCGCCCATGGGTGGTCCACCCATGGGTGGTCCACCCATAGGTGGTCCACCCATAGGTGGCCCACCAAATGGAGGTCCGGAGAATGGAGGTGGGGGACCTCGCATGGGTGGTCCCTCCATGGGGGGCCCTGGATCAGGCCCCCTCATGGGGGGTCCTTGATCAGGACCCCTCATGGGGGGTCCTTGATCAGGCCCCCTCATGAAGGGTCTATTAGGGGGAAACCCTCTTGGACCATGGAATCCACCTGGAGGGGGTCCGCGAGGGGGCGGGCCACCACGGAAGCCTTCAGGGGGTGGGGGACCACGGGGATGTGGGCCTCTCATCTCTGGACGTGGAGGTCCTTGGTTGAGGCGGTTATCATCAGGCGGGGGGAATCGGACCCGAGGACCGGGACCATCTCCTGGGCCTGGCATTGGCTTGGGTTCCATCTTGAAGTGGAACTGTAGGAAAAACTGAATCAAGAAAAAAGAGCAAATAAAAGAAATTATGAAAACTTGGTTTTTAAATCCGGCTAGTCACTTGGGCCCAGCAAAGGCTCAGGTATTTTCTCAAAGTAAAACATGGAGCAAGATCATATTAAATTTTGGCTCAATTAAATTCTTATTGGCTGGACACATGACTCATTCCAATGATCAGGGTCAATGTTCATAGAGAGATTCTGTACAGAGATACTTTGTTTTTCCTACCTGCTTGGTTTCCTTATTCCAAGAAGTCCAAAATTTTGCCTCCGACTTGTCGACCTCTCTACTTGGAACCTGGAAAGCAAAAAACATCATTTTTTTAAAAATCTCTTCAACTTTCCATACTTACATCTCAAACCAATAGGGTTTACCATGGCAACCACCACAATGGCAACCACCACAAAAAGAAATACTACTGATGGAATTAACACAACCTTCTGCAATGAAAGACAATTATTGGTACTTTGATGAATGGCTTACCATCGCCAATTTATGAGTGCTCTAGTCATAACAATGTGTTCTCCATAAAATTAGCCTTGGTCAAGTGCAATCGACGGTAGTGTCTGATGATGAAGTGCTAAAATAGAGTGCGGCTGTTGTTTATTTTAGCAGCAGACCATCGATCATATCGTCACGTCCGTGCAACAAGGCGGTATCTCCTAAAATGGGCCGTATGTGAAATGCGAGTTTCAGAATGTCAAAAGGTCGTATCTCACTTAAAATAACCCGGATGTACAGACAAAGTCAATGAACGTCGAGATACGACCTTGTTGAAGGAACGTATTTGCGCGAGATACGACTTTGTTGCAGGTGTTACGACCTTATTGCAATGACGCGACGACATATCGTCGAAAGCCTTGACCAAAGCTATCATAAAATTGGCCTATGAAATTGGCCCAGCAAGATACATACCTTGAATGCTATAGTCTCATATGGCTCGGCAGCAAACAGCAGATACTGCCATTTCTTGTCTGGTGGCTCAACTCTCTGCTCATAGGCTGACATGAAGCGGTGTCTGGGTCCTATACCTTCAGCTATCTCAGGGTAGTCAATCTGGGAGAAACAATAACATTGTCTTAACTCTAACGTACCTGAATCCATCAAAATCCACACCCGTTTTGGAGGACTTTGGTGGATTCAGGATACCTCCATATTGAAAAAGTTGGGGGATTGTGATGGATTCAGGACATTAAGACTAGCAGTACTGCAGGATTTTGATGGATTCAGGAAACCTCCATATTGAGCAGCTGCGGGACTTTGATGGATTCAGGATCTCAACAGTTGAACTCCCTGGCTATATGTTTGGGGTGTACGAGGTACATGTATATGGACTCACTGGTGGATTCTAATGGACTCAGGATACCAACATTTTTTTGCTTGACAAAATTGGTGGATTTTGGCGGATTCAGGATATTTTCTAGTAAATGTGCTCAAGGGGTAAGGGTTAAAACATGACTTGAAGGTCTGCATGAGGATGTCAGAGATAGATGGAGCTGGTATTTCGCCATGATGTTGTGTGACCTTAAAGGGAAAATACAACATTTGCAAACATCAAAAAATAAAACTACCAAATCATTTTGAAATACCTTGCTGGACTGTTAGTGAATGACAGTGTAAAGCATCCTGTAAAATCATGGCACCTGGTATACTGTCATTTTCAAGAAAAGTGGTATTTTTGTATCAATTTCCAACGCTGGTCGGCCAACCAGCGTTGGAAAAAACTGGCTTTTTTTTCAAATACTGGCCCCAATTGACCATCGCACTTGTTTGCAATCGATTACACACCTATGAACGGGTGCAAGCCAGCTAGACTGGTTCCCTGACCTTACAATTCCCCAATGTATGTAAACAGCTCTGTTTCTTCTTATATGGAGTCAGGGAACCAGACTACAGGAAAATGATTCTTTTTCTTGGTTTTTATAGCATTTTCGAACCCAAAACCTAAAAAAAGTCAGTGTAACTATATTTGCTATATATTTCCAACCCCCAATTCCATCCATTTCTGAAAATTACAGCCAAAGCAAATGATGTATATTCCCTTTAAATCTCCATTGAGCTATTGTGGGGTTTTAGAAAAATATGGATAAACTTAAGATTAAACGGGTCACACTGTGTCACCGTAAACTTCTGCATTGATAAGTGTCAGAATGATTTCTCTAGAATTATGTCAAACTCACTAGAATATTCTCTAGAATGATGTAAAAATATAACTTTGATATAGCGTTTTGAAAAAAGAAGGTTAAATTACCTGGAACAAAAGACTCTGTTGGCCCATGTTAGGATCCCGCTGCTTTGTCACTAAAGGAAAAAAAAAAAAAATTGTTGGAAATGAAATGATTCAAGGTCGAAACTCATTTCATACATGAAGTCAAGCTAATACATCATCTTGAAAGGCATCACATGATGAATACCATTGTAGTAAACAGAACATCTTAAAAGCAACTGCCACATTGTTGCAGCAGCAACAGAAACAAGTGCAATATCCCAATGGTCCACTCACCTTTGTGCATACATTTTGGTAATGATAGTTTGACATAGAGTTTCAAGTATTCAAGTTTCTAGCTCATCCCAGTTTGTTGGTTGTTGGTGTGGTTGGTGGGGTTGGTGTTGTTTGGTGTTGTTTGGTGGTGTTTGGTGGTGTTTGGGGGTGTTTGGGGGTGTTTGGGGGTGTTTGGTGGTGTTTGGGGGTGTTTGGTGGTGTTTGGGGGTGTTTGGGGGTGTTTAGTGGTGTTTGTGGGTGTTTGGGGGTGTTTGGGGGTGTTTAATGGTGTTTGTGGGTGTTTAGTGGTGTTTGTGGGTGTTTGGTGGTGTTTGGGGGTGTTTGGGGGTGTTTGGGGCTGTTGGGCTTTTGGCTTTGGATTTGGCTGTCCTGTTCCGTTCCCTGTCTTTCCTGTACACTCTGTTGTAAGTTCTGTTGGTCCAGTTTCTTGTCTTAAAAGGCATTTCTATTATAAGACGTTGTCTCTTGAATATGCCTCTACAATTGCCTCTTTCATTTGTGTCTTTCTTGTATTTCATCAACCGTCGTTCTTATATCAACTTTCTGTATAGTGATTTGAATGTACATTTTGCAATATGGAAATAAATGAGATGAAGTGAACTGACTTGAGGACATACCTTTGTAACCGGGCCGTCCAATCTTGACAAACTTCCTGATGTCTACTTTTGCCTTCTCCAACAAGGCCGGCTGTGCTGGGGCATCTTTTGCCTCCTTGGCTGCTCTTCTCGCACTGCGATTGATGGAGAAATAACGTCAGGTCTTTATATCTTAGACTATGGGCATTTCTGATAGGAACCTTCCTTCCAGTAGTGTATCAAGAAAGGGGGGGGGGGTGGGCATGCCCCTGGCAGATTTTTTTGAAAGATATATTTTTTTGCAGTAATTATTTCCATTAATGGTTACAGAGTTTTGACATGGAAAAAAGGGAAAAAAAGATAACCGGCTCAAACCCACTACTGTGCGACGTGAAAATCGGCATATATTATCCAGTATGCATAATAATGGTCAGTTTTGAATACCCCCCAGTATGCATAATAATGGTCAGTTTTGAATACCCCCCCTCCCGACATCAAAAGCTGGATACGCTACTGCTTTCTTCCTATCTGCCACTGCCAATTAGTGCCTTAACACTAAAGGAAAAAAGTCCTTTAATCAAGCTCCTTGCCTCCATGCAACATCTTCTGAGAGCTGCAGTTGGATTTAGAAGGATCTCACATGGTTTAAGCCTAAAGACTTAATTATCCAATTAGTACAGCTGACAGGTGGTAATCTTGTTGGATCGTTCCAAGTTAAGAAACCGACAGCCACTTACAGGTTTGACTGATGTTTCTTTCCCTGTGTGTGGGCCAGGTAGCTACCTTCGTTGTTGTGTAGCGTCAAGCACAACTTGCACTCATAGGAACCCAAATGATTCTTCATAAAATATGGATCCTAGAAAATGGGGAAAAAAACAAACAAAGACACAGATATTGTAAGTTACCCAGCTGGGATGTAGTCTAGAGCTTAGACATTGTGATGGTTTGATACCCGATAACCCGCCGCAGCGATAACCCGCTGCCTTGAGTGGGCGCTATCAAGACCAACCATCACCCACGAACCTGTCGGAACAACATCTAGGCCAATTCGTACTGGTTGTGTAATGCGTACACACCTGTTTGGCCTAATATATGTAGCACGCATTCAAAATTCATAGTAGTTCCGAAGCAAACCCTCAAATTTCTTCCAGTAGTATAAAAGATGCAGCAAGACGTTTGTGCAACTTCACTGGTCAGCTCTTCTGTTGTGTGAAGTAGGTCCCACTACCGTCCCTATGTTGTGTAGTTAGGAACGGGGTCCTTAACTACACCATTACTCCAACTTTACCTTATTGAGATCGATAGTTTCCAGGGCCAATTGTCTCAATCTCTCCCTGCGATCTCTGTTACTCTCCGACTCGGAGGCGACTCCGCCGCCTCCTGTCTTGCCCCCTGCTCTGTTCTGGAAGTCCATGTTGACGACAAAAGACTTTCGTCTTCAACAGGAACGTAGATGGATTGTTTCTAAAAACTATAGACAAAAAATTTTAAAAGAATCACAAAATGTTACAAATTGCATAGAGCAAGTGTGAAATTTGAATAGCAGAGTACAAGAATCATATTTGCAGGGCTGCCAGCTCTCACGCATTAAGTGTGAGACTTACGCATATTTGTTCTCACGCTCTCACGCACTCGGGATTTCTCATGCAAAAAAAAGAAAACCAATAAAATTCAAAAATGATTTTTAAATGATATTCTTTTGCTAAAAAAAAAAAAAAAATTGGTTAAAGTGGTCAGAAATTGCCTCAGATCGCACCACAGAGCGTTTAGAATGATAGAATCTAAAATAAAATTGGGGGCCCATCAGCATGATCAGCGTGGGCCCGGCCGAATTACCCACGCCGTACTGGCATTGCGCTGTAGCTCTCACATTTGATATATATAGTCGTGTTCCCTAACGTGGCGCACTTCGAAGCTTACCCAACTTTCCTTGTGTAGTGTTGCCAAACCTCTTTGCTGATAAACCTCAAATTTATGCAGTGAAATACTGGTACTTTTACCTTTTTAATGCTTGCTGTTTAACCTCTGTGAACAATTTCGGTTTCACAAAATTTCATCCGAAATGCAAAAACGGTCGCGTCCGGAAATTGGGCACAAATTGGCGGAGTGTTCCCTAACGTGGCGCACTTGAATAAATCTCGGAAAATTCCAAATTAACATTTAGGAATTTCTGTAAACTTGAAAAATTCTGATAAATCATTATTATCTTAACTTACAAACCCAGCCAAATGTTTGTCAGAAAATTATTTTTGTATTTTTCGGGGCATTTTCAAAGGGTTCACTTTGCACTTGAAAATAAAATCGGAAAATCACGCCAAAATTATTTTTTCTTTTAACTTTGTAACGGGTAAATAAACTTGCGATTTATAAACGGGAGTGTTTAGAACTTGATGAAATTTCACTTTCTGTGAAATTTCAGTTAAAACTTTTGCTCTAGCTAGGCGATACAGGCGAAAAATCAAAGTGCGCCACGTTAGGGGCCGCGCCACGTTAGGGTACATCAACAATGAACAATATATTAGGCCTAGAAAGTTGGCCTTCTTAATTCTGATCAAGCTCCTGCAGGCTTCACCAAATTCTCACTCTCAGCACTTACTCTAGTTAGTAGGCAGCCCTGTATATTTGCTACACAAACTGCGAAGTGGAGCAATAAACTTGACTGGTGAATAGCGCCCTCAGCGACAACAAAAACGATTTTGAATGTGCGTTTGGCATTCGTTTCATTACAGCCCTGTATTTTCAATTCTGGCTCAGTAATCGGCACAAAAACCGATCATTATAAACATTCAACACTACATTGTCTAGGCCGAACATTTCCATATTGATTAATTGATAATTAATTATGATTATTTTACCCGAAATGTACCGTTAACTTACCTCAGATTTTGTGCACAAAACACATGGAACACATTTTAGAGTTTAGTCAGATCCCTTCTTCCCATTCCAAATGACGCTATCAGAAATTAAGACAGGGTACTATACAATATTTTTTTCAATATAAATTTTAAACCTAACATAATTGAATTTTAAATTGTAATAAATTAAAAAAAACAGCCAAATATTATATTAAACATTTTAAAAATATATTTGCAAGATATGTAAGATTAACAATATTTTTAGCAGACGATTTTGGTATCTACTTAAATCTTATTGTTGACAGAGCCGATTCTGACCAACCCCCCAAGGCAAAATAACACTCTGGCAAAAGAATTGCAAATGAAACATTAAAAATGCTATAAATATGTATATAAAATTTGTCAAGAAAAAATGTTGACTACAATATCTTTAGAATAATTGTAAAACAAATGCAAGATAGATTTATTGACTTCAATATCAATGCATGCACTATGTAGAGAGATCATTAGTCTTACTGCCATTCTAATTTCAGTGGGGGTGCAATGATTTTGGATGCCTATAACAACGGCATAAACAGTATGGCGGCAGATGCAGAACTGTGGCCGTAATTGATTTATATCTTGAGTGAAACCACCTCATCGTTCTGAAATCTGATAAGATGTCATGTAGAATGAAAGATCGGATACTTATGGTAAATTTCAATCGATTTTTTTTCTAATTGCCATATGACGTTTGTATTTATATATCTTATTTTTAGAGGAATGTTAAAAAAATGTTACTTAGGCTCTTCAATCATGTCAATTTGTTCCTCAATTCATTTCAATCCTCCATTAGCTTGAGCATGGAGGTAGAATTAGAATTAGAATTAATTCTACCTCCATGGCTTGAGTAACTACAGCTGACATGCTCATCAGCTCATATTCATTCACATGTAGCTGTGAATGAATATGAGTATGTCAGCTGGAGTTACTCAAGCTATTCCTCCATGATAAAACCGAGCATTTGCCGAGTAACTAAAAAGTTAGGACTCTCGCCTTTTTTTCTTTTTTTTACATTTTGACATGGTCGGGCTGTCCAAATGCGATTTGTTGAGTCCTACAATTTTATGTTACTCGGACTATAAAACCATCATGATAATTGATAAAAATACAACATTCTACATCCCGCGTGTTAAAAAAATAAAAATTAAAAAAAAACAATTTTAAGAATAAGACCAACTGTTACAAAGTGTTAGGCCTATAGTATAAACAAAACAAGTAAACATAACGGATGCAACATAATTGAAAACAAGTATTAGGCCTAAGTCAAGTGACACTTAAATTTTCCAAGGAGTGCAAAGTGCTACTGCTAGGGCATGTAGGGCCTTAGCTCTGAGTGGAGCGTTGAATTACGGGTACCCCTCCAGTTTGTATGGAGGGGTACCCGTAATTCAACGCTCCACTCAGTAGAGCTAGTAGGGCCTACTTCTAGAATTAGAAGGCTTCTCTCCGTCGCTTCTAATTCTAGAAGTGCCTAGGCTAGGGCCTACCAAGTATGGGGGTCTGCACAATGCGCAAGCTTGCATGGAGCCAAGTACACAGTACACAGGTGCAACACACATGTACGTTTGTCATGATTGTTTCTGCAAAAATTTGTACTAACAAAAGAGGGACAATTAAAGTTATTGTGTATTTTATTTCACAACAGGTTTTGAGTACATTGACATAATGGAGAGTGCAAGAAAACCACAGCTGAGTGATCTCCGACAGAAACGATTGGCGTATTTTGATCAAAAATATGCCCCGAGCCCTCCCACAGAGCCTAAACCAAGTAGCAATGTCAATCTGGCATCAACACAGATATCAAATGGGTCGACACAACGAGGTGGGAAGAAGACCTCTGGATACTATGGTGATGCAACCTACAACAAGACTGGTGCCATTCCGAAATCATACAAGAAAGGTCAGCGAGGGGTTGATTCCACAACTTCAAACTCGGTAGAGAATAGTGGTGGATACAGTTATCAAGTGGTCGCTGCGAAGAAGAAATCCACCAATCAGCAATTGAGTGCTCAGGATTTTGAGATACACACGCCAAATGATGTCGATGAACTTTTCCAGTCTAACCGAGGAAGACCTAGAAAGGCAAGTCAGGTTCCAGAAGAGAAAACGGAGAAAGTTCATCCGTCAGAGCCAATTCGTGGCAATGTTCTTGATGCAGCTTCTGTGGATTATGAACGTCGGCTTATGGAGCATCTTCAAAGACCTGATCGTCAGAATGTAAACACTCACATAAGAACTGCACAGATACGTTCGGGTGATAGCAGAGGAGATGATATGCCGCAGAGAAATAATCATCTTGTTCCCAGGAAGAAGCATCTGAAGAAATTCCTGTTTAGACAAGATGAAGATACCTCACCTGCTCTCAAGGCAGCAGCTGAACATGATGCTCTCTACGCCCAGAACATACTGAATCAGATGGGTCATGTACGGAAACTACGAGCTCAGGTGCATGGAGAACTCATGTCTGGCTTCTCAGAACAGGAGTTTGGATTGAACCCTGTGAGTTCGAAGGCCGAATCTTTAGAGCAAGATTTATCACGTGAAGATCCTGTCTCCTCAATTCAAGTTGGATCATCTCAAATGGATGGAGGTCTGCAGAATCGTTCAATCAAAGATCTTCAAGAACCCACCAGTGTGTCTGTTTATTCGTTGCAAGCAGATTCACACCGTGTTACAAAAACTTTGTCACCACCGCCATCAAACTCAACTGTGTATTTGCAGGAGGAAGACAGTGGTACTGGTGGCACCAGTGATCAAGACAAAGGTTCAGGCAGTGAAAACTTGGATAATGATATGACCTTTGACCTTGGGGCATTACAGGATGCAGCCAAACAAGGGGATGACATCTTGAGGAAGTACATTCAGAGTCTGAGCAAAAACATCAAGAAGAAGAAATTAAATGAGTCTATCGGAGAGACCACTGGAAACGCATTCAAGCCAGACCCACATGAAATAGATGGTCCGAAACCAGACGAAGTGCAGGATTTAGACAGAGAGCTATCATCTCATCCTAGACATCCTAAGAAGTTTCTGAATACTGACTTGAGACCTGAGCAGGAGACGAGCATCCCTCAGACATCTGAATCAAACACTGTGCCACGAACGAGAAATCTGGAAAGACAGCATAGACCCAAAGTGTCGCAACCTAGTGTCACCTCAACAGAGTTACAGAGTCTAGGACTATTTCAAGACCTTCAAGATATGAAGCATAACTCCCAAGACCCAGGTCATGATACCACAAAGCTGCACACCCAGCTTAAATCAGGCCCTAATCAGCCAAGACGTCTGGATGGGATGGTTGAAGACAGTACTGAGGATGAAGATTTTGGCTTGAGCACACACCGACCCATGGAGAGACCGTTGTCTCCTCTGAAGCAGGTTTACGTGAACCGCAAAGAGAGGCACCTTGAAGGCTCCGAAGATGATTCAACCGATCCTGTAAAAAGACATCAGAATAATACTGAGAACAATCAGAGTGACTTAAGTGACGCTGGACTGTCTTTGCAAAAAGATGATGCAGTACCTGAAAAAGACCATACATCTCAGACAGGCAACGTTTTTCATACATTTTTGGAGCCTGAGGTTGATAACACTCTGTTCCGACATCACAGTTTAGAAAACTTCACAAGCAGCACTGACCAAAGTGGAGATGAAAGATTGAGAAAACAACCTCCAAGTTATGAGAAGTTGTTCTCCAACCCAACAGGATTAAGCTCAGACTCAATCCCTTTCCCTCACCCATCGGGGACTGAGATTGGAAACTTTGTGTGCCCAGAGCAGAGCACAGACTCTGACCAGGATGCTCACAAGAATCTTGCAAGAACCTCTCAGCTTATTCCTATTCCACCACAGCAGGAGAAGACGGGCAGTACCAGCTTCAAGCGACACAAACCTGCAGCCCAGAAGTCCGCAAGGAATAAAAGTCCAAGGCGACCAAAGACCCCAGAGAGGCATGTAGAGGGTGTCAGGGAGCACCATGAACGGGAGAGAGAAACTCGCAGACAGCTGTCGGCTCGCAAAAGTCAGAAGAAATCTCTCGAGCAGGAAACTGGAAACCTTGCAAAATCTTCAACGGATGAAGATCCTGCTCTTCGGCATCCTCATCCTCCTGAAGACAGATTCAATTCTGAAGATGTCTTAAAAGTAGAGAACCTGTTTGAGTCCTCCAGTTGGAAAGAATCATGGCAGCAGCTCAATTTAGGACCCTCCGGAGATGCTAAAAATCACAATGAACAAAATCAAACAGGAAAAATGTGTCCAAGGTGCACCAATTTCAGTGTGAACAGTCAATCGGAGTGTGAAGCTTGCGGCACAGTCATCCATAATGAATCTGTTAATCCAGTAGACTCTGTGATTCCATCATTTGATTCCCATTTCAAGGATGTGTCTTCAGGCGGAGCTGCCACCGCCAGAACCCATCTGACAACAGGAAGTGCTTGGGATATTGAAATCTCAGCTCCGACTCAAGAGAACAAATTTCCAAGAATAACAGCAGACGATGAGTCAACTGTGATGGGGAAGATAGCCAACTTTGTTCCCAAACTGACCGATGGAGGAGGAGATGTCGGTGGATCTAAGAAATCCAGAGGGCCTGTTTCGTCAAATGAGACGGGTGCTGGAGATGCCAGTCATGTATTTGGAGATCTTCCCAACAGAGTGGATGCATGGTTGGCAGCTAACGAGACCAGCAGACGCTCTGATGCTTCCGCAAATCTCGACCCCACTGGACAATCTGCAAATCATAAGATTCGGATCCCAGACCAACTGCGACAGTCTAGCGACGAGGAGGAAGCAGAGCACAAAGTGACCTTTGAACTTTCACCCCAAGTTGACCTCGGTAACCAACACTTGCATCAGAATGGTCATGCTCCTGGCTTGGACGATCGCCTGGGGAAAAAAATCAAGCCCCGCCCAAGTAGTGCTGGGCCGCAGCAAAGCAGACAGGAGGCAACAAGACCAAAAGGTTCCGTGTCAAAGAGCAGGACCGGTCAATTGATTGACCAGCCGATGTACAACCGCAGATGGGCAACGTCAAGCTCAACATGGGGTACCAGACGCTCAGTTGGAGGTCAGAGGTCAACACTCATAGACTCCATTCCAGCATCAAATTCACCGACGATGCAAAGAAAGAGGCCGTCGTCTGCAAAACATGATGTGCCACTGCACAAGAGTGAGGCTGAACCGAGGGTCAGGGGTCAGAGGCCGCGACCTCAATCAGCGAACTGGAAATCCAGAGAGTCAAAAGATTTGGGCAACAGCAAGAAAAGGAGTGGGAATCTGAAGGATGAATTCTTGACTGTAAACACAGCTCAAATTGAAGGTAAAATTGTGCTTAAAACCAAATCAAAGATCAGCATAAAAAACATGAACCTTTATCAATCGCAAGTGTGTGGGATTAAACTTTTGTCGTTTCATTAAAAACGTGCATGATTTCTTATTGTTTGTTTACAGAGGGTCTCGCTTCCAGAGCACTGCATGCCAGTCATAGCATGCTACCTCTCACCTTGCAACTCATCTGTGATGTAAGTTTACAGTGCAGAAAGTTTGATTTCATCAGGTACCTACTCAGTATCTGTGCCACAATATGAAGGCTTATTGCTTAACCAGTTCGCGCCGGAGGCCGTGTATACACGCACAAGTTTGCAGCATCCAGAATGGATGACAGATAAACACACAGGGAGCGAGGCCGGAAATATCTGTCAGCGACCCACTCGCAGCGAGCGAGGCTGGAAATATGAGTGTGGTACCTGAGGGTGATGGCTTCAACCCGACTGGCTTGAGGTCGAGTGAAAAGTAATCCTGTGCCTGGTTCTGTTCTTGTCCAAATAATCCCGGCGTGAACTGGTTAAAGCATAAGGAATTCATCAAACATATTCATTTTCATACCACGTGGGCCCTACATGACAAGTTTTACGTTTATTTAATATACATGGCATGTTTTTTTCTCTTAATGGGTTTGTTTCTATAGGATACCTTAGATTCTATCAAAGCAAGAACCCTTTATTGCCCCCTCTCACCTTTGAACATAAAGATGAAACACTCCAAAGCCTGTGTCTTATTTTCTTTCTTGAATCGTTTCCAGAGTCCCCGAGGTGGTGACGATGTGTCAATATGGGAGCTCCTACCTGATGAGATTCTCCTTCACGTCTTTCGTTACCTGAGCTACAAAGATCTCATCAAGTGTGCTGCAAGTTGCTCAAGGTTTCATCGTATCGCAATGGACGACTCATTGTGTGAGTATATGAGCAGATTTGGGTGGCGGGAACCATTAGTCGACTAGTGGTCTATTTGTGACATAACTTACGCCTGCGCACTGGTCGAACTATGGTTAACTGTAATTCTTGGTCTGTGCCATGTCTTATGGTGTCTAGAGCTATATTGCTATGTCTATCGTCAGCTCATTCTTATGTAGTTGAGTCAACTCACAGGTTTGAATTTTAATGTTAAATTTTGCTTTTTTTGCACAGGGAGGACAATCAAGCTTCACAAGAGGCAAGTGAGCGACTTTTCCTTGACTCAGATAGGTGAGAGGCATCCTACGAGTCTGTCCCTCACTCAATGCTATGGCAACATCGTCACAGAGAATGGACTGAGAAATCTCTTCCGTTGCTGCGCTGATACACTCCAGGTAATGAGGATATGACCTTTGACATTGGATGTGACCTTTGACACTTTGGATATCTTTACAATGAATATTACGGATGAGATTCTCTGCCCCATTCTTCTCATGAATATTCATGACAGCTCAATGTGGATGGATGCACTGGCGGAGATCTGAGAAGTGATTCGCTGCTAATTGGCCCATTTTGATTTGCTGCCCATTTATTTTCGTAATGAATATTTATGGAAGGAACTTACCATGCACATTCTTCTTATGAATATTCATGACAGGAACTCAATGTGAGTGGATGCACAGGCGGGGATCTGACAGGTGATTCGTTGCTGCTACACGCCAGCAGGTGTAATCACCTGACATCATTGGATGCCAGCTGGAGCCAGGCTACAGACAATGGACTATCAGCCATCAGCGACAGCTGTCAAAGGTAGGATAAGAATTTACTCATTAGCACCTGTTCTACATTGTATTACATTGTATTACATTGTATATTACATTGCATTACATTGTATTACATTGTATTACTTTGTATTACATTGTATATTGCATTGCATTTAAAAATACATTGTATTACATTGTATTACTTTTATTACATTGTATTATATTGCATTGCATTACATTGTATTACATTGTATTGCTTTGTATTACATTGCATTAAATTGCATTACATTGTATTACTTTGTACACATTGTGCTACATTGTTGAGAGGAATAATTGAGGTAAAGTGCCTTACTCAAGGGCACAACACGCATGGCCACGGCAGGGCTCGACCATTAGACCACAAGTGCCCACTGTGGTATAGGGACAAATGGGTTAACCTTCATGAAACATTAACTGTTACAGACATTCAACATGACTTCAGAGTCCAGATAATGGAAAATTACTCTGTAAAGTCGCCTTTCAGAAACCAAATTCTATTTGGGTCAGCCTAAGTTGCTTCTTATCACTGTTGTGGAATGCCAATATGAAATGGGTGTCAGTTCCTCCAAAATTCAAGAGGTTTAATGTGTGACTGTATTTGTTGCAGGTTGACGTCGTTGTGTCTCAACGGATGCCAGTCAGTTTCTGATGAATGCCTGAATCGTGTCATCAAGAAGCATGGCAGAAGGTAGGTCAGGACATTTGTGTAGCACCGTTGTCTGCTCTCACAGGCTGTACTGGATTTGTTGCCTCATGTAAGATTTGGAAGCAGCAATAAGATAAAGTTTTACAGTAGCACCATGTGAGAAATCTCTTTTGTGAGTTTGTAAGGTTCTGAAAAGAACCGGGGGAAACTCAACGCTTCAGAAAATATGCTCTGCCCGTCGTCAGGAGACTGATTTGTCACATGGTGCTACCGTGAACCTTTATCTTATTATTGCCTCTTCTCATTGCTATGGAGTGTCATGGCCTAGCGGTTAAGAGCATCGCACCGGACTCATGCTCTGGTGTTTCAGAGGCAGCAGAATGTGGGTTGGAGCCCGGGTCTGGACACTTGTGCCCTTAAGCAAGGCACTTAAAAATGTATGGTTCGTCCTTCGGATGGGACGTAAAGCCGTAGGTCCCGTGTGTTGTGTAATGCAATGCACATAAAAGAACCCAGTGACATTTATCGCTAAGAGAAGGGGTTTGCCCCGGTGTTTCTGGCCTCCTGTTAAAACTCCAACGTGGAGTATTAAAGAGTAGAACCAACCAAGAGCCAAGAAAACTGTTGTGTTGCCTTCTGTTTCAGTCTGCGTGTGTTGGAAGTCTTGGGGTGTGTGCAGCTTTCTCCTGAGACACTTCAGTTGATTGGCCAAGAATGCCGTAATCTTCACACTCTGAACATTGGCCAGTGCTACAAGGTATGTAAGAATCTCTCCACTTTTGCTGCTATGACAGAAATCAAGATTTATTTTTGTACAAAATTGAGGTTACTTTCTGTGCAGTTAAGCCTATTCAACTGATTGTTTTCTTCATTCTCAGGTCACAGATGAGTGTATCAGTCAACTCGTCAGCCATCTCAGGAACTTGAAGCACCTTGACATGCGTGGCTGCAAACAGGTCAGTCAATCAATTAAGCTCTCTAACAGGTGTACCGAGCCGGCATCAGACCTTTCAGACTTTTATCCAAAAGCAGTCCTTTTAAAACTAACAGAAATATTCTCTGTGTTTTCATGCCAAGGAAACTGGAGATAAACACTGGCCTGATGATTAATATTGTAAGTGACGTTTTTGTCAATTTATTGCAGATTCGAGATAGCTGTGTGAGGAAGATTGTGAGAAACTGCAAGCGTCTTCAGACTCTGGTCTTGGCAAACTGCACTCACATCACCAACGCAGCGATGGTTGAAATCGCTACCTACCTTCCAACAATCAGGTACATTGTTAGGGTGCTATCTCAGTGTCTTAGCCACGGATTTTTTCTCCAGGTTCGCCGGTTTTCAATCTGGCTGTGTCTGTGATCAGATATTGGTCCTATGGTAGCTGCCTAAGGTGCCTTTGTACTTGCCTTCGGCTCGACCATGTTGTACCTGCTCCCTTGCAATTCAGCTTCTGCTGAAAGTAAGAACGATTAGCCCCCCCCCCCCCCCCCCCGATTAGGCCCCCCCCCCCTCCAAAAAAAAAATAACATTTTGGCACCCATTGGCATTTCATTTGATCATTTGATCATATCTTGTGATGCGTTGATCCTCTTGGTAAACTTGAATTTTCTGTCTTTCGGTGAAGGTCTCTTGATGTGTCTGGCTGCAAGAAAGTCAACAACGAGGGCGTTCGTTCCTTAGCAACCTGTTGCCATTATCTGACCTCTCTAGATGTCAGCTCAACGGGCGTTGATAACAAAAGGTACACAAAAACACACTGTATCCAATAAAAAAAGTTTATATCAACATGGCCATTTCAAAAGCTGATGTGTCTTTCAAAGACAGACGTGTCTGGGCATGCAGAGCTTGATGTGAGTATGACCAGAAAACATTTTTGGGGTGATCATTTTTGTAAATTTAAATTTTTTTGGCGATCCTTAATTAACCTATTGCGGTAGAATCACGTCAATGCAGTTTGTGGAATGTAGTCCAATTACATGATATACAAATGGACGCACAACGCACAGAATCTGAGACAAACAAAACGTAACATACAACATTCCAAAGGGTTGTCTAAGGGGCGTGGCAAACTCGCAAACGGTGATAGATCAATACATCCAGGGTCTAGACAGTTATTTTGATTTCGAAGGTGCTAATAGTGTGATAACACACAAAATGTAACTATTGAATTACATTTTTCAAACTTTTTGTTATAATAGTGTTTCCGCCTTGGCTAATTACTGCAACAAGACACTGGTTTCTGTGCGTTTCAATTGCTGCAAAGACATCACTGAAACGGCCATTGTGAAACTGCTGAAGAATTGCAAAAAGTAAGTATGAAACTAAGAAAGGGGATCCGCTCATAAGTCCGACGCCTCATAAGAGGCGTCGGACCTATGAGACGGAATTTATGCCTCATAAGTCCGACGCCTCATAAGTCCGAAACTTCGGACTATGAGGCGTCGGACCTATGAGGCGTCAGTTAAAATACACAGTTAAAATAAGAGTTGAATAAATAAATAAATAAGAGGACTTGTCTACAATTTTGTTAGTGTTTCATTTGTGGGTCTTTTTTCTGTTCTGTTACAGACTGGAGACTTTGCATCTGTATGGGGTGAAGGGTCTACGTAACCTAGGCGTGTTGAAGCTACAGTATCCTTGCCTGTGGTTTGAGTAACGAGCAGGCCTCGAGTTATGTGTGTTTGTGTAACAACATATCTATGTGTACGTGTTCTACATAACCCCCGAGGACCGACACACAAAGGGAGAACAACAGATCCTTTCAGTCCTCGGGAGTTGGGTCTTCTGTTGGAAACGGTCCTCTGTAGTAAGTTTGTGTGCTTAGTCTATGGGAGAGTCAAATTAGGTTTTGCCTTTCACCGACCAATGGGAGAGTGTTGTATTCATTACAAAGGGATATTTGTGCACGGAGCCATATGGACTGGTCAAGTGGCTTTTTTTACCATGAGAGAACTTTCTGTTTTTCTTCTTCTTTTTCATTTTACTTCTTGAAAAAAAAAAGAACTGTTTTAGATATTTGCCCTTAAGAAGACAAGCTTTGAAAAATGTGCCTTAGCCAAGTGATTGATATGCAAATGAGGTGTAAATATTAAAAACAAATCAAGTTTAGTTCAAAACGTGGGAAGTATTTTTTCATGTCACATTTTATGGAATCAAGTGTTAACCAAGCAAGTCAATTGGTGTAATGATATTTTCAGTGCCTTTACTCAAAGTTTGGAACTGATCATGCAATTTTATTTTATGTAACAGCGCCCTCTATTGATGAAAGAACATTGTGTAAAACATCAATGCTGTGTTGTCAACTCGATAACACAATTGCTGCAATTTAAAAAAAAAACAACTAAATCTCATGTTTCCAAATTTAGATTTTGGAAAGAGTGTGCACAAATTTCCCGCAGTTTTTAATATTAAATGACATCTCTGGGCAAGATAAATGGACGAAGTAATGGACAATGTGATATACTACATATCTGCCTGTGGCTAAGTGCATATCATCATCCAAGCATTATTGATGTATACATTGTAGTACATTGTATACACATGTTCATGTATTAATGGCTTAAACACATTTCAAAGGCAATTTGTTTCCAAGCAATGATAACCAGAGCTGAATTATTTGTGCAATAAAGATAAGTGTTTTTACACCTGCATTGCAATGTTGTGTTAACAGCCGTAAAATCCATCTTGAATAATTGTTTCACTTTCAGGCATTTCCAAAAATGTATTTTTAATGTTCTAGAAATAGAACGAAGATGGTTTCAGCTAAATTTAGAGACCGAATTCTTCTTAATTTTGGAGGCAGGATATAATTATAGATTAATTGGAGCTGTGTTGTATGAAACTGAAGCCAAGTATTTTTTTTTCGAAACTATACATTTCATCTTGTTCTGAAGACAAGTTTGAGCTTGCCTGTTTGAAGTGTTTCTGGCAGGTTTAGAAACTGATTATGGAAATAAGCCTATGAGGATGACAAGTTTAAAAGGAATATTTAGAAGTTGATAATTCTGTAAATGCATAAAAGCTAATCATGTATAGCGCATTGATTTCTAGAAAATTTCTAGGGAAGAAATAGTAAAATTGTTGGAAATGGAAAAGTATTAACTAAACCTGGATATGTTTGAGACTGTGCCTGGTTAGGAATATTTGCAAATGCAAACGGAAATGTAAATTTACATATTTTTTTTACAAAATGATGGAAGTGAGATTTTTTTAATCTCATATGCAGCTGGTTTTTCACAAAGCTTGAGTTGTTTTATTTTATTGACTTATTAGTTCCTTGTTTTTGTTGAAGACTTTAATGTGGATGGAAATTTAAACGCCTTGCAAATTGAGACTTTTTTGTACAGCATTTGTGGCGTAAATAGCCACAAATGGTTTCAGCTCCGGCGACAAAAGCCACAGTTTAAAGGAATCCGAGTTTTATCTAACGATCCATAATTACTTAAAACCCTCATTTGTCTGCAGCGCTAAGTCTCACACCACTTAAAAGTCTACAATTAAAACAATTATATCGACGCGTTAATAGCGCGCGCTCGTTGCAGCGTCACGCGGTCGATATGTGCGTGCGCGTATTTTCCGCCACAAAGGCTTAGCCATTGATCTCCATATACACAGTCTACGTATATGGAGATCAATGGGCTTAGCCGACAGCATGCTGTAATTACCAGGTACAATGTTACTTTCGTGCCAGAAGCGCACGCGCAGAGCTGTCCCGGTTAAAGTTGGAGATGCGCGCACATGCACGTAACGGAGACCGGCAGTCCGAGCACGGGTAATACTGAATTCATTGCCGATCTATATATGCAATTAGCGTAAATCCACAGTCTGCACCGACATTGATTTCCGTTTTTCCGTCTGGTGATTGTGCTGTTGGTAATATTTTAAGAGAGTCATTGTTAAACCTGCCACAAACTTCATGGAGTAGGCGACATAAATAACTATGCAGGACAGTTATGCAGAGTAAAAACGGGTTTCCAATTTCTTACCTTAAAGGGTGGCCCCCAAAAACAACAACAACAACAAAAACAACAACAAAATCCAGAACGGCATTATATACATTGAGACTCAAACCACCAGTTCCAATAGACGGAGAATTGTTTTTAAGAAGAAATATAATACCAAGATCTCCCGATTCGGTCCAGTAATTTTTTTTTCTTCTGCAAAGCCTATTTTGTGAAACACATTCATTCAGTATTTTTTCTCAAACTTATTTTTGAATATTGCTGATTATTTTTTTTCATGTGAAGGGAGTGCAATGGCTTAGGTATGCAGTGTTTTTGTACTTTTAGCCTTATCAAGTTTTAAATGCAACGAACACAGTATATTTTGGTAATTTAATGTGATTATATGTGTGTAAATTGATGACTTTGCTTTGCACAGACCTATGCAAAATTGTTGTCTTCATGGAAAAGTTGTGTGTACATTTGGATCGATGGATAAATATTTTAAGCTACAATCATACCGCGTGTGTTTATTTTGACAGCAGAATAAAAGCGAAGGTCTTTATGGCCCGTATAAATCGTACGATTTGTCATTCTTTTTTCCTTCTTTTTTGAATAAAATGGGATTTACGTCTATATAAGAGATACAAATTGTAAGTGTAACAATAACAAACAAAGTAGGGTATTAAAACACTGTTGGACAATGTTATTTGCCCAACCAAATATTATATGATGTCACCTCATTGACGGTCCGAATTAACCAACTATTGGGAAGAAATTGCCCAAGAGAGTTGTTTGTTTGTTTGTTGGGTTTGTTGGGGGTGTTTGTTTGTTTGTTTGTTTTTTAACAGTGTTGGCAACATTATCTGCCAGTAACTTTGAAATTAGGCCAACGTACAGTTATTAAAGACCCTCTTTTTAAAGCCACACTGGGCGGTACGATGTCAAAAGCGTTGTTCTTGGTGAATCTCATTTTTGGATAAAATTCAGTCAATCTCGGAGCTTAGTAAAGCTGCAATATATAAGCCTTGGCATTTTCAAAGTTACGAAAGCAACCTTTACCGCGCGAAGACGTATACATTATCTCCTTAGGCACTTCACATGACCACCCACGCAGAAACAACACAACCTGAAATTAATGATGTGTTTTCTTGATTTCGGACTTACGATAGTTCAAGTAGGAAAATTGATGGTTTAAAAGCTACAATTACAGCTCTTATTTATTTTCAGTTATGTGGTAACACGAGAAAAAAAATGAATATATTGCGATTGATTATGATGAAAATCGTGGGACGCAAATAGACAATGTTTGGAAGAACTAGAACCAACTGCGAGCGTGCGTGCGTGGGCCGAACTCATTATAAAGCGTGGAAAAGTACTCCGAATGAAGTAATCTGGCAATTATTGCCGCCAAAATTAGATTCTCCACAAAACCTCGTTCTTTGTAGAGATCAGAAAATTGGACGCCCGATGACGTTTATTTATAGAATCACCCGCGGTGCAAACCATGATGGATTAAAATATTGCAATTACTGTGACTGAACTGAGATGAAGACTTTCAAGAACAGTCATAATGATAAGAATGCCACTGGATGGAGGGTATTATGTGGCAGAGGTTACGAGAGTCTTTTTATAGGACTCGCTCAGATCGTTAGTGATCATTCGGTGTTCAGATGCAGAAGGAACATCATTGGGTCCCGAAGACATCGTTGTTAGACCATCTCACTCCATGGGTCTATAGCTAGATGTAATAGACTCAGTTCTGTAAACTTGTACTTGTGTCTAGCCTCGTATCGTACAAGTGGTACTGTTGCGCTTCTCAGGGCGCATCTTTGAAGACTTTATTCGCAATTAAGATGTCTTCTGGTGATCAACTGCTAAACGCCAGCTCAGGTGAAAGTCTGGAGGGAAGACCTCTGAGCGAGCCTCTTCAAGATGTCCAGACGATTCGTAAAGAGTCCCCCTGTCCCACCATGACCAAAGCGAACGTGATAGACTGGTTGAACGCGTTCGGTCCGGCAGAGCAAAACGACAGAGATCGGCGTCGGTCATCGGAAGGTGCAACCGAGACCAGAGGCTTGCCGTTGTTCGTCCCCTCATTTTCAAGTCAGAGCGACTCAGCCAGTCCTGTCCTTCCTGAGAAGAAACGGTCACTATCTCTGGACAGTGACCCCAAGACCCGATTACTGTCCACTCCTAGCGTCGGACAGTCACTCAAGACACACAGTAGCAACAAAAACTCCGAGGACGATCAATCAGTTCTGCCCGAAAAGTTGTCTCCACGTTTACCACGCCTTGCTCCCGTTACTTCCTCTGCCATTCCGAGTCCCAAACCACAACGACTGGAGAGCCAGAAGCGAGGCGTATCACACAAGGTGCAGTCTTACCATGAGATGTACGAACTGGCGTACAAAGTGACTTATGTAAACATTTAAGACTCCTAGGAAGCTACAATACTTCCAAGTCGTCTCGTTGAACAGCAGGAGTCCTAAGCAGTCATCCTTGAGGTACATAGTCTCTAGTTTTAATTCAGTAGCAGTGAATCAACAAGAAGTCTACTCGTGCGTATGTTGGAGCAACAAAAACATGCACCTCAAACATGGCCGCATTGCAAAGAATCTATACAAGGTGGCTATAAAGGGAACGTTCATGCGCCTAAAATTCTGATGTAATTAAAAACAGAATGATTTTTTGTTCAAATTTACATTTCTACGTACATTTACTACGTTTACTTTCGACATAAATTTCCTCGTTGTCTAGACATTGTACCAAACATAAAAATGTTCATATCACTGACAGAAAATTCGAACTTTCCGCTCTGTTACATCCCAACATTTCTAACATTGTTTTTATTAATTGTCTTAACACCACTCTGGATACAAAAAATGAGATCGACCACGTCTGATTCGACAAACCCATATCATTTATCTTTATATTTTTGTCGTGTTATATTTTCAACAAGTATCAGTGTTTTGAAACTATTTACGTTATTTTATGATTCCACATTGTGTGAATGTATTTATAGCCTCCTTTGTCTCTGGGATCCAAAAACTAAAGTGTTGTGATTTAACTAAATAATAAAAACTGCAAAAATCTTTAAAAGAAATTTGAGCAACGTCGTGTCCAACGCATTGTCCTTGATTTTACGGAGGCCAAGTGTCCGGAGGAAAAAACCTGTGTACATTTTCAGATTTTTTGGCTGATGACCCCCCCCCCCCCCCGCGAAAATTCCTGGATCCGCCCCTGCAGTAGTACTTGATATTGCTATGACATGTAAGTTGGTTTTTGTTTCGTTTAATGAAAATTCACTCCGATGAGGGCACGCACTGCCAAGTCACCTTCATTTTGCGATAGTTATTGCTTAAACGAAACTTTGAAAGCGAAAACATCAGCTGCATGTCACCCGTACGGTTGGACAAAACAACAGCTTGGTACGCATGAACTGGTACACGGTACCCCGTGAAGACATGTGCATAATAGGGAACAAAAGATTGTATACATCTCCACGTCTCCACAAGGTTATCGCGAAATAGATACATGGATTTTACTCAAAAACTAGGAGTTTCCAAGGTGTGTTGATCCGTCGCAAATTGAAGTATTTTATGTAAGGATATTAAGTCCGAATTTCAGCCCAGGAAATTGATTCTGGTTATTAATAGGAGCATTTTGAAAGTACACTTTCAAACTCGAAAACTTCAGTACACGAGAACAAC